CGGCCCCTGCCTGAGGAAATACTTCACGGTCTCCCTTCTGGTGATCTGTGTAGTGATAAGGCAAGCAGAGTCTTGGGAAACAGCTGATTGTGTTCTGGGTGGCTGAGGAATGTCTCATTTTTTTCACTGTTAGGCCCATGAGTTTTAAACAAAAACACCCCCAAAACAGATGAGAACAAAAGTGCTTGTTCAGGACCACTTAGAAAGATGACACTGTGACCTCAAGTCAGCGTGGTGATCAAGCTGCCCTCATTTACATGATAAGCCAAACCTTTGGTATTGTTTCATCTCCAAGACATCCTGATACATGCTGGAAGCATTTACCTCCCAGACCATCGGCTCCCTCCTCTTAAATAGCTGTTTGAGAGAGGCAGCCTATAGGAAGGCAGAGCAAGTATGTGACAGTTGATTCCTACATTCAATCGGATCTCGAAGGGCGGGCCCGGTCCCTGCATTGAGGAGTTTGAGGATATTGTAGAATGGAATTAACTTACTAGTAATAAATAATGATTATCTAATAATAGCTTTTTAATAATAAATATAAGTAATAATGAAATAAAATAAAATGTTCTTGAATTTGCAGTTAAGCTGCTACCCTTTCGTAAAGGCTGGAACACACTCATGATTTAAAATGTTTCTTCTGCAGCAACTTCTGCTGCCAAAAGTTTTCCAACTGACTGACAGATCAGAAGTACACTGCTTTTAAGATGATGACATTTTATTGAGTCCAAATTGGATTCCTCAGCTGAGGGATGTGCTTCACAAAACTGGTCCCCCTCGTTTTGATATTCAGTCATCGTTCTTCATTCATTCAACCAATGAGTGTCACGTCAGTTAGCAGTTAGCAGAGATAAAGTGCCTATGGCTTGGATAATGCCAAGCCTCAAGGAGACAGAGACAAGGAGGTTGGCAGTGAGCATTGCATTTGCTCAGTTGTTGTGAGCAAAATTTTTGAAGTTTTGCTAAATAACTGATACTCAGAAATTTAAGCAGAAAATGTAATTAAACAGTAATTGAGCAAAATTAAACAGGACAGTCTAAGGTGGCCTACCAGCTGAAGTTCTAGCTGTAAATCCAAGAAGAAAAGTTCTTTAAGTGTGGCCATGAGAACAGGCCTGGTAAGACATCTCTCTGCTTTGGGGTGACCATTCAGTGGAATACAACATACCCACTGGGAAGGACTGGGTGGCTTTAGACAAGCTGATATGAAACAGTCCCCAAGAGAGATGAAGTGAGAAAGCTGCTTGCAGACCATGTACAGAACATGTGCTGAACACGGGAGAGAGGTGCAAACACCTGGCTGCATTTGCAGAGAACATATGTGGCAGGATTGTAAGACCTTGGCAACCCTGGTCTCCTCTGGGAAGAGGAGATCCCACCTGATCTCCATTGGGTGGTTGGGGAGGTGAAGGAAGGATACTCAATTAATGCACTTAGACGTTGTGTCTCTTTTGAATTATATAACTTTACCTACTGAACTAATTACACTGAAAATAAAATTGACCAACCAAAAAATCCTTACAGAAAGCAAAGAAAAAGCCAATGCATTACCGCTAATTCCAGGGCAGTCATTTTTTCGTTTTTTAAACAAAGACATGCTTTTGCTGAAAATAGTGAACTAATTCTAGACCTTGGCTCTAAACGAAACACTGTTTCTCTAATGAACACTCAAGTTTTATACTCCTGTCTCGTGTCAATCCCTCTCTCACCTGATTTTCTCTGTGTAGATTATTATGTTTCCGATTATGATTAATCATTCGTGTAACTTCTGTTTTCTTGATGCCTGCTGCCTCTGGCTTGCACAAAATCTTCAACTGCTTTGACTTCCACAGCCAGAAAATATAGTTTTGGTTCTGAAGGTAAAGTACTTGTCTGCTGTTTCATGTTGCTCTGTGTGAAGCTGGTAGTAGTGCAACGCTTTTTGCCAGAAATTTCTATCTCCGCTGTCATCTCCACTGTGATGATTTTTAAATTATTGTTTCATTTTTGTTTCTGCTATCATCTTTAATTTCCTCTTTCAGTGTTAGTGGTTCATGAAAGAACAGCAGCCCATCTTAGCAAATTTAAATCTTGATCCTCTTTCCAACATAATCCACAAAGTGCTCCAGAGATCTTGGTGTATCAGAAAATAATATAGGTCCTTGCCAGACGTTGGCCAGACTTCAGCCTTGAAGCAAACTCTTGAAATGACACATCTCCTTCCTGATACTGTTTGCATAATACTTAGTAACATTAGAAAGGTTGTATATAAAATATAAAATTTGTATTTGGAGCCAGAGATGGTACATTTAAAATGTTTCAATACACCATCTCTCCTGGGGGCTCAGTGGCTCCCAGGATTCAGAAAGGATTTTAAATTTTTTTTAAAATAATAAATAATTTAGAATATTTGCTGAGAAAAGATAGTGAAATATAGAAGAGTTTAGAGGATCTAGGGCTGGTTTCCCAATTGGCCAAAGATGTGAATCCTCAAGGTGGGGTTACAAACACCAGAAAATAATGACTCTTCATGGCCATGGGGTGGGACATAGTTTAAGCAGGACCATGTACTTGAATGCAACAACATTAGCCACTTTTTTTTTTCTTTTTAGTATTTTATCCTTAATATCAAAGTAGTTAATATTCAAGTGCCAGGTGCACCTGGCTTAATACTCGTAAACATTTGCCCACAGTTAACTAATGTTGATTGAATATTTGCTGTGTGTGTTGGGCACTTGGCTAATTGTTGTCACATCAAATCATTTAAGTATCTGTCCCTCACAATATGCTCATGACATTCATGCTAATGTAAAGTTTTCCAGTTTAGGGGACTAGAAGCCCCCTGCTGGGATTTAAAGCAGGTCCACTGTCTCCATGTTCAGCGCTGTCTCCCAAGATACCACATTTGCTTCTAGGAGCAACACTTCAGTTTTGTTTTACTTTGCTCAGCTTGGCTTCAGAATCTATTGTTAACCAGCTGATCCATTAGTTGCAAACTGCCAACTTGTAATTTTCTGCCATTCTTTAAAAATGTCTTGCTTTATGGAAATGTGAGAAACTGCATTTGTGAATTGGAGCAAGTTCAAGTTTTGTCATCTGGTTGCATCCATTTTTATTTATCCCAGAATAAAGTCGTTAGTGATTATAAAAACAGGCTTTGGTCACATATTTAAAAATGCATATCTAGAAGCATGCTAGTTCCTAGGAACCTAGGAGCTGTCTGATACACAGGCTGCAGAGCTCAGCCTCATCAGCCTGGCATGGAGGTGCCAGTTATTAAATGTCTAATCTGTGCTGCATACTGTACTGGGCACATTATCTCTAGTCATATATTATTTGTAATGTTCACCATGACCTTATTAGGTACATATTATTATTCCCATTAAATGGGTGGAGAAACCAAGCGAATGGCCATGTTGGACTCAGAAAGCCAGAGCCTGTTTTCTCAATTTAGATATGTTCCTGGATCCTTTAGTAGCTAACTATGGATTTGTCCTTTGTTCATCCATTCCAATCTGCTTTGAATTCTTAATAACTTCCCCTGGTGTTACATCCGGGTGAAAAGTACCCTATACGTAGACTATTCATTATGCAAGTAATTCTGCCAAAATGTGTTTTGCCATTTAAAACCAAAAAAATATCTTTAGGGTTTAAATTAAGCCATTTGCAACTTGGCCCTGCACTTGGACATTTTCCTGGGAGCTGAAAGAAGATATAAATCACTTGGTCCCATATTCTGATAACTCCAATCTCTGCTTCCTCTGTTTCAAAAAGGGACTTCAAAATATATATGCACACATTAAGATTCAGCTCCTAATGGCAAATAGGTTTAAAAACATGAAATGCGTACATTGTGGAATGTTCTATCTGTTCTTCTGTGTTACAGTATGTGCTGTTCTTCTGTTTGACTTGCAGATCATCTACTATGAAATGGGCATTATTATCTGTGCCATCCTGGGACTGCTCTTCGTGATCCTGATGCCCCTGGTGGGGGTTTGCTTCGGTTTGTGTCGCTGCTGTAACAAGTGTGGTGGAGAAATGCACCAGCGTCAGAAGAGAAACGGCCCCTGCCTGAGGAAATACTTCACGGTCTCCCTTCTGGTGATCTGTGTAGTGATAAGGCAAGCAGAGTCTTGGGAAACAGCTGATTGTGTTCTGGGTGGCTGAGGAATGTCTCATTTTTTTCACTGTTAAGCCCATGAGTTTTAAACAAAAATACCCCCAAAACAGATGAGAACAAAAGTGCTTGTTCAGGACCACTTAGAAAGATGACACTGTGACCTCAAGTCAGCGTGGTGATCAAGCTGCCCTCATTTACATGATAAGCCAAACCTTTGGTATTGTTTCATCTCCAAGACATCCTGATACATGCAGGAAGCATTTACCTCCCAGACCATCGGCTCCCTCCTCTTAAATAGCTGTTTGAGAGAGGCAGGCTATAGGAAGGCAGAGCAAGTATGTGACAGTTGATTCCTACATTCAAACGGATCTTGAAGGGCGGCCCGGTCCCTGCATTGAGGAGTTTGAGGATATTGTAGAATGGAATTAACTTACTAGTAATAAATAATGATTATCTAATAATAGCTTTTTAATAATAAATATAAGTAATAATGAAATAAAATAAAATGTTCTTGAATTTGCAGTTAAGCTGCTACCCTTTCGTAAAGGCTGGAACACACTCATGATTTAAAATGTTTCTTCTGCAGCAACTTCTGCTGCCAAAAGTTTTCCAACTGACTGACAGATCAGAAGTACACTGCTTTTAAGATGATGACATTTTATTGAGTCCAAATTGGATTCCTCAGCTGAGGGATGTGCTTCACAAAACTGGTCCCCCTCGTTTTGATATTCAGTCATCGTTCTTCATTCATTCAACCAATGAGTGTCACGTCAGTTAGCAGTTAGCAGAGATAAAGTGCCTATGGATTGGATAATGCCAAGCCTCAAGGAGACAGAGACAAGGAGGTTGGCAGTGAGCATTGCATTTGCTCAGTTGTTGTGAGCAAAATTTTTGAAGTTTTGCTAAATAACTGATACTCAGAAATTTAAGCAGAAAATGTAATTAAACAGTAATTGAGCAAAATTAAACAGGACAGTCTAAGGTGGCCTACCAGCTGAAGTTCTAGCTGTAAATCCAAGAAGAAAAGTTCTTTAAGTGTGGCCATGAGAACAGGCCTGGTAAGACATCTCTCTGCTTTGGGGTGACCATTCAGTGGAATACAACATACCCACTGGGAAGGACTGGGTGGCTTTAGACAAGCTGATATGAAACAGTCCCCAAGAGAGATGAAGTGAGAAAGCTGCTTGCAGACCATGTACAGAACATGTGCTGAACACGGGAGAGAGGTGCAAACACCTGGCTGCATTTGCAGAGAACATATGTGGCAGGATTGTAAGACCTTGGCAACCCTGGTCTCCTCTGGGAAGAGGAGATCCCACCTGATCTCCATTGGGTGGTTGGGGAGGTGAAGGAAGGATACTCACTTAATTAATGCACTTAGACGTTGTGTCTCTTTTGAATTATATAACTTTACCTACTGAACTAATTACACTGAAAATAAAATTGACCAACCAAAAAATCCTTACAGAAAGCAAAGAAAAAGCCAATGCATTACCGCTAATTCCAGGGCAGTCATTTTTTCGTTTTTTAAACAAAGACATGCTTTTGCTGAAAATAGTGAACTAATAAACCTTAACAATACACGTGCAAACAGGAACCAATGAATATGTGAACTGATTTCCTGCACCTTTGTTTGAACGTGTGGAGGTTTTTTGTTTTTTTTTCTGCAAGATGGGGGTGTGGGCCTCTTTCTGCTCTGTCTCCCTGTCTGTCTCTCTGTAGATAATTTGAATCTGTTTCTTCACACCAAATACGGAAAGGCCATTTAGGATATTCCAGGTACCCCTGTCTGTCTGCATTGCATTTGAAGTATTTTCAGAAATGTACAGACTCTGCAGCTGGAGGAGTACTTACCTCTTCTCCAGCTACCACATAAGTGGCAGATAGAGCCCGCAGACCTGTCAGACCCAGCAGGAACCCTGCTACATTTCCTGTAAGCCTGCAACCTACTTCCTGCATTCATCCAAAGACTTGAACAGCCATGCTTCTCCCAGTCTGTGCCCCCTGGACTTCGAAGAGGAGGCCCAGATGATAAAGTATCATCTGAAAATACTCTCTCAGGGCTTCTTGTTAGTGTGATTACTTACTTAACAAGTTAATAGTTTTCATTTGTTATTAATACATATGGTGTAATTTCAGGAAAATTCTTTATTGCATGTAGTTACTTGTTTTCCCTAACAAATGTTTACATATATAATAATGGACCTCCCCCTTTTCTTTTCTGACTGAAGTACCCATATGTACTGAGTTTGTTTTTAAGTTGAACTTTAATTTGCATTATAGTATTATTATATATTACACATATAGAATTATGTGTCATATACATTTTAGTTCACCCTGAACTGATTGAATTATTTACTTATGTTTAAAATAACCAAAGTAAGAATAATAATAAAAAATAAAGATGTAATAAATAATAAAGCTACAAAGTCAGACATAAACTTAGCATTCAGTTATATGTAAAATGAATGCTACAATTTTTTTTTATTCGTAAGAATTTGGATACATCAAACAATTTAGATAATTTTTTTTTCTCGAGTATATTTTAGTTTTGAAAACTCTTTTAAGAAAATACACACTGTGACATATACACAATGGAATATTATTCAGCTGTAAAAAAAAAAGAAATCTTACCATTTGCAACAACATGGATGGAGCTAGAGGGTATTATACTCCGTGAGGTAAGCCAGGCGGAGTAGGCCAAGTGCCAAATGATTTCACTCATTTGTGGAGTATAACAATGAAGCAAAACTGAAGGAACAAAACAGCAGCAGAGTCACAGACTCCAAGATGTGACTAGCTGACTAGCCGTTACCAAAGAGGAGGGGTTGGGGAGTGTGGGTGGGGAGGGAGAAAGGGATTAAGGGGCATTATAATTCACAATCACAATGATAGGTAGGTCACAGGGAAGGCAGTACAGCACAGAGAAGACAAGTAGTGACTAGAGCATCTTACTATGCTGATAGTGACTGCAATAGGGGGGTTGAGGAATTGATAATATGAGTGAATGTTGAAACCACATGTTGTTCATGTGAAACCTTCATAAGATTGTGTATCAATGATACTTAAATTTAAAAAAAGAAGAAAATACATACTGGGTATAGCATTGTAGAAAAGTGTTGCCCAATAGAATTTTCTACAGTGATGGAAATAATCTGTATTTGTACTAATTCATAGCCAGTAGCCACATATGGCTATTGAGAACTTGAAATACCATTAGTGTGACTAAGGAATGAGATTTTTAGTTGTATTAACTTAAATTTAAACTTTAAACTTTAGTAGCCATAGGAGGCTAGTGACTACTGTATTTGACAGTTTATTTTTAAAGTGCAAAAGAATAATGTAAGAAAACATCTATTACATCTCAATAAAGCTGTTAAAAATAAACAAAAATACATTCCATGATTCTACAGCCTCCTACACCTTCAGTTGAGATATTTCCCTGACACAAGTAAAATTCATTAACTTGAAATTCACAATTTGAAATTAAAGTTGATCACCTATTTGAAGCTGTGACAAATGTAAAACTTATTTCACATAATATACTGAATTCATATGTGAATTATAAACAGGTCTAAAGAAGAGCATTGCTTGAGATTGGTTTGTTTATTTGAAATTCAGGCTAGAAATTTAAACCTCTGCCTTGCATTTTTTAATGAGAAGAGCTAAATATTTTAATTTTGATGTCTTCCTTATGAAACCTCTATAGGTTTTCAAGTATCTTCTATATCAAAGAGTTGATCAATAGTTATGTATTGTTTACAAGTACTCAAAACTAGCTAAAGATTAAAAACCAGGGAAAGCAAAAATTTCTAAATTATGATTAGAGAGGAAGGAGAAGAAAATATGTCCACAAATCAGATACAATATAACTATGAAGGCAGAGAGGTTAGAAGGCAGAAAGAAGAGGAACTGTTGGCCTTTGGCTTACATGGGCCTCAGTAGAGATCACATATTGGTGATAGTCTTTGTAGAAACCTTTTGCAAAACGCTTTCAGAAACCCAGAGTAATGCACTTGCCTTTTATCAGCCTCGATCTCATTTTGTGGTTCTGTGCAAGTGTTACCATTAAAAATGAAGTTGGTTTTTCAATTAGTCTTGAGTACGCTAATTTCCATCCATTCTTTTTTTATTTAAAATGTTTAAAAAAATTTTGTTTTGAGAAAGGCAACAGTGAAGGAGAGATCCTATTGTATGTGGACTGTATGTGGTTATGTCCTTTCTGTCTGATCTTTCCCCAAAGGCAGCTGAGGAATGTTAGAATTCCACAGACATTGACGTATGTTTATATAAGTCTGTTTGACCAACAGCAGAAGATTGAATTTCCACCTCTCACTGGACTGTGTAAGCAGATGTGCCTTTCACAAGAAAATGCCAGGTTTCCTCTCCTTTCTTTCCTTTGCACTGTCATCACTGGCATCTTTCAAAATTTCAGAAGGGTGATTAACAACAGGAAAAGGAACAGCCTTGCCTTTATTTTTCCAGTATATTTCTAAGTTTCCAAGCATAATAAATCAGCATTTGCCAACTACCCTGGTAAAAATGGAATCCTAGTCACTTTTAGGAAGGTGGCTGTTGTCAAAGTTCGTTTTTTTATTAGGTTGTGATTGTCTGTTCCTGGCTTGGAGGCCACAAGGTTCTAGAAAAGAAATCGAGCTAGCATGTCTAAAAATCATGAGACTTTCTTAATGTGAATAAGAGGGTTAGTTATTTATTATTAAAATTTAAACTAAAACATAATCTCATTAAAAAATAAGATCAGTTTACAGACTAAAAGCATTTACTTAGCTGTTATTATTTAATTTGTCAGTAGAAATTGATAGGAAAAATATGCTACAAATTTTTAAGTTTCTCCTTAGTCTTTAAAAGCTTTCAATATTTACTTTGAAGTTTATATGTGGAAAAATGGTCCATCCATAAAAAATTCTAGAAGATAAAATACTAATATGCCATAAAAATTTAGATTCCTATCTTCTAAAAACTTTAAGAGATTTTGTTTTCCTGCATAAAAATACATGTTTTTGGTATCTTTTATGTCAAATGCCAGAGAACTAAGAGTCAATGACATTTTATTCCTTTTCTGTGGGCTCAATTTCCCTCAGCATCTTCATATTCTAATAGTTGACTGGTGTTGGTTGAAAGAAACAAAAATATTAATTCATGTGTTTTTTTCTTTTTTCTTAAAAAAACAGGATTATAAGGAATATCTCAATTGACAGTAACAGAAAGGATAATTTCTTTATTCTTGGTGTTTATGACAGAGTTTTCAACTAGGGATTGCAAATGAAAACTATCAATTGATCTGAATAGATAGAAAACTTTTTTTATTAAGGTATTATTGATATACACTCTTATGAAGGTTTCGCATTAAAAAACAATGTGGTTACTACATTCACCCATATTATCATATCCCCGCCAATAATACCCCATTGCAGTCACCGTCCATCAGTGCAGTAAGATGCCACAGTCACTATTTGCCTTCTCTGTGCTACACTGTCTTCCCTATGGTCCCTGCCACACCATGTGTGCCAATCACAATACCCCTCAATCCCCTTCTTCCTCCATACCACCCACCCTTCCCCACCCCTCCCCTTTGGTAACCACTAGTCCCTTCTTGGAATCTGTGTGTCTGTTGCTGTTTTGTTCCTTCTGTTTTGCTTCATTGTTATACTCCACAAATGAGGGAAATCATTTGGTACTTGTCTTTCTCCACCTGGCTTATTTCACTCAGCATAATATCCTTCAGCTCCATCCATGTTCTTGCAAATGGTAGGATTTGTTTCTTTCTTATGGCTGAATAATATTCCATGTGTATCCATTCATCTACTGATGGACACTTAGGTTGCTTCCATATCCTGGCTATTGTAAATAGTGCTGCGATAAACATAGGTGTGCATATGTCTTATGAAACTTTTTAATTATATTTTTAAATGGTTATACTTATTATTTGCTCTGTTAATATTTAAAAATGGGAGACTTTTACATAAGAATCCAGGTTTCCAGACTTTGGTGAATCATTGGAAGACCTGGCAATACCGGTCTTCCATCATGAACTTGGACTTGCTAGAACTGCAGAGCATCTGTCTCCACCCTGTCTCTGATCACCCAGCTCCCACAGGCCCATTACATACACTTTTCCCTTTATGCATTCTGCCCACCCCTGTAGGCATTTGAAGTTGCCATCCTTAGTTTATAATACAAAATTTACAGTGATGGGTTATGGGTCTGAAAATCAGCCTTAAAAGTTGCTGAATTCTATTCCAGAATTCTGTTTAGTATAGGCACTTTTTTTTTCAATGATCAGTGCTTTCATTTTAATTGGATCCGTAATTGATTCACAGAACTGTGGGTCTCTTAAAATATGTCACATTGAACTTCAGTGTTTAACTGCAATGTCATATTGCAATTCATTTTACTGATTGATGATTTTTTGAGTTAAGGCATTTATTCAGTAAAGAAACAAAGGCAGTTTCTGATTTAGATGCTCTAAACATATGGCTAACCTTCTAAATGGACCAAATGAAACCAAGCCCAGTCCTTAAACCTACCTTCCCTAAGCACCCACCATGGACAGGAGACACCACATTACCCACAGTTAACAAAGAAGCGGTTTCCGCCTCATTTTAGGGAATTTAAATATAGGTAGAAAGAGAGTATGAAGGGAGTAAGACTCCCTCAGAACTTGAGGTGAAGTCCCCTGGGAGTTCAAGGCAAGGAGGTTCTTTTCCGGCCCAGTCCAGTGATAGCCAAGGGGACTTGGACTGGAATTTGTTTCCCAAGTTCACTTTGACTTCTTTATGACAAAATGGGTCTGAGGCATAGGAATGACAAATCATTCGGACATGCTGGGTAGAGAGAGTGAGGACCCCCATGTCACATCCTGTGATGATCTTGTAGTGGACAGTTGTATTCAGCTGGTGATCCTGACATCATGGTATAGATTTGGCATGGTGAATAAAGCTCCAGGTGCAGTGCTATGACTCAACTTTTAAAAAATTCCATTCACACTACTCCAAAGTCATTATTTTAGGCCATTTGGCCCTATTTGGCATGAGTACATCATTTAATAACCATCATTGCTGTGGTATAATGTGTGCCTCATGAAGACCAATCCAGACTTAAGATTGACAAAAATGGATTATAAGGTGGTCATTCCAAATGGCACAGAATATAGTTAATATTCATCTTTAAAGATTACCATCAGCATGAACCCAAACTTAAAAACAACCATCTTAGAGAACTTGTGGGTAGCCAGCACGCCTCTCCTTTGCAGCTGGTGAAGTGCTCATCTAATGTAATTTCCAGTTTTGCCAAACCGACTACAGCTCACAGGATAGACGTGATTTTTCTCCTGCCCATGCAATGTGAGTCAGTGGCAGTAGGCGGACTGGAACCCAGGACTGGGGTTCCTACACATTCCACTGCAGCTTGTCAACCAGAAGAAATCTTGTTCAACGTTGCATGTTACAGGCTTTTTCAGATTAGTTTGGGAAACCTAATGCATCCATGGGATACCTCTATGAGAAAATATGTTTTAAATGAGACCAGCAATGAACCAATGCCCTTAACATGAACCATGACTGTCCCCATTTACCCAGCACTGTGAGGTGACCTGGGAACATGGGTCTTGTGGTATAAAAACAGACATTTGACCACCCTACCAGTAAATAAATGAATGCATTGAGCCTAACATATTGCTTTTGGTGAAGAAGTAGTGATATTCTGCGTCAAAATTTTTTCCAAAACTTGCCTATTATTGGTTCTCAAAAGGCATTCACACCTTCCATTGGATGGTCACAAACCAGCAGTTTATTACAAAGTAACAATTTTGTTATTAACTTAGGTAGACTAGAATGTTGTGGTCATCTTATGTAATTTTCTGCTGCCATCTAGTGGGTAAATGTAACAGCTTCAGCAATTTGCAATTTTAAATGTCCCATTTTAAGGCTGGAAGGCTTTGACAGAAAAACAAACCATCTGGTCAAATTAATTTAAGTCAGGGGATTGTTAACAATCAGTTAATATAAAGAACCTTTAAAATGAAACTTTTCATTGAAGTGTGTTTTTCATGGAGAATCCATATAAAATTCGGATTTTACATTGTGTCCATATAATAAGTACATATGTGTGAATTTTCATTTCATACCGAATACATCATTAGCCACCCAAAATATAACTGCTGACTTTTAGCAACACCATTATGTTTGATTTTATACTTTATATAAAGTGGAGTGATACTGAATGTATGCTGTTGTTCATGGCATTTTAATGCTAGGGTAATTCATGTTTTCTTTCAAACTGAACAATTAAAAAAAAATGTGAAAGACAAGAGAAACCAAAAACACTAGAAGCCCAAACCACTCATCATTTTGGTATTTTTCCTGATGGTCTTCTGTGCAAGGAGCAGAGGTATGCATGTGGCGTGCCTACATTCACACCTGCACAGGAATGGGACTACATCACACACCCAACCTTATAACCTCTGTACCTTCTATTTCCTCCACAATTTATTGGGAACATTGTTCCATTTATAAGCTTCATGTTTAACAGAACCGTCTATCTCAGACGGACATGTGTCTCCTCTGAGAGCCTTGAGTCCTATTTCGCAGCCCCCACGGTGGTGGCTGGATTATGGGATTTGGTGGGAAGGCTGTAGCCGTGGGAGAGGAAGGTCCCGGCCTGCAGGCGCTCTGCCCCATAGCCCTGGCCACTCCCATTGGCCAGAAAGCCATGGGTCACCCAGTAAATGCTCTTTCTTCTTTCCTTTTCCTGTAGCACTGGTGTCATTTATGGCTTTGTGGCAAACCACCACCTAACAACCCAGATGGGAAGGAGTTGGAAACTGGCAGACAGCAATTTCAGAGACCTGAGAACTCTCCTGAATGTGACTCCAGAGGTAAACCGACAATCTGTGTATCCCAGGGTGCTTTGTGTTCAGGGCCTTTTAGAGTTACTGTTATCTATTTGGAATCTCTTTTAGACTTTCTAGAAATCCAGTGAATCAACCTAGACAGATGTAATCTTTTAATTTTGTAGATGAAGAAATAAAAGCCTGAATTTAATTTCCAAAATCTTCTTGATTTTCAAAAAAGTACAGGGGCATAATATCAGAATTGGTATTTTTATTTTAAATTTTATTTTGTCTAAAGATAAGACACAACTATAGAACTTATTATACAAGTGTCTAACTATTTTAAGGGTCATGGTTTTTATGAAAAAAAAATCTTTAGGAGCTACCATCCTTTCTGGCTGTATAACTCCCTGTGGTTTGCATGAAGTCATTCTTGTAATGAATCCTTTCTGCTTTATAAACACCCATTTGCTAATATCTGTATAGGTGTGCAAAACTCCTTGGGAAGGGACACATACCCACCCACAAATTGTTCTGGGGGAAGATACAGAATTGTTGGAGGGTCCTTTTCCTGGATCCCAGAAGCATGTTGCCTATTCAGAACATTGGTCTGAAAAATGCCTCAGCAGATATCAGCCCGAACACATGATGCCAAGGTCACAGCCACCAACATGTGGAAAAGGGTGTCCTCCTAATGGGCTCACTAGCAAGAGCCTGCCCCAACCCATGGGCCGCCTCACCCCAGGGAGGTGTTCTATACCAAGTTCATTGCATTCTGAAAAATACTAACACATTACACAGTGTACTAATTTTTAAAATGTGGTTGGAACTAAAAGAGCAAAGTATGCAGGCATTTTAAAATAGACTAGAGAAGCTAGCATTATCCACAACTTTATGGTCTGTACCCAGAAGGAAATGTTTCATTTCCACGGTTGGTCAATAAAAGTGCTCAAATTTTTTACCCATCATTCTATAGACTCCAAAACACTTTTTAGCATCATTCTATAGACTCCAAAACACAAAGTTAGCAAAATTAAATTAAATACATAGCAATCACAGAGGGTGAACTTTGGGATTGCTTTCATTATCTTGGAAGGATAGTAAATTGCTATGACTTTGGGGGCAACTCGTCTAGTTCAAAACATAGGAAGAGCTCTAACAAATGTATAAAAAATTGGGCAGAGGATGTGAGTACTTGATTTGACAGAGGAAGTATAACTGGCCCCAAACATAATAAGGCAGTGAAGGTTACTCTAGGAATCGGAGAAATGAAAAATTAAATGGTGATGTACATTTTCAGTAAGGAGATGGGTAACTGAGACAGTGGACAGGAGAGTGAGCAGCCAGGCCCTTCAGTGGCCAGCTCGGTAAGAACCATGGAATAAAGTTGTCCTACTATGTTACATTATAAATGGCCTCACATTCTTAGTTCCTTGAATCAAGAGGCAGATTTGTTACAATCCCTCGAATCTCGTCTGCCCTGTGATTTGCTTTGACCAAAAGAAAGCAGCTGATGGGATGTTGTGCCAGGCTTGCCCCGAGGCTTTGAGAGGCCTTGCAGCGGCCACCCTTGTTCTCTTGCACTGAGCCCACCGCGTGAAAACACCCAGGGTGGCCTCTTGGAAAGTGAGAGACCATGTAGAGAGAGGGGTCCCTTTGTCCCCAGCCAAGCTGGCACCAAGCAGATGACCCATATGGCCCATCCATCCACAGACTCCTGAGCAATAATCAATCATGTTTCTTAAGCTGGTGGGCTTTGGAGTGTTACTGAGAAGTCTGGGTGCCAGAGATATAAACACATGTAAGAACCTGCTTGCTTTTCAAAATGTTCTGGTTCAGGATAAATTTTGTATGTTGAGTGGCTTTGGACCTTAGAAGAAGAGGTTTCATTTAATTCTTTTTTTTTTTTTTTTTTTTTTTAGCAAATCAACTATGTAACAGGCCAGTATACTACCACCAAGAAAAAGGCATTCTCAGATCTGGATAGTGAGTAAAACTTTAAGTTGTCTCCAGTTGGTTTGCTGTGTTGGCTATAAGATGCTGTGGCCATCTCCCATAACATGTGGTCTAAGAACGGAAGTGTACTGTTTCTGACATTTCTGTGTGAAAGGAGGGAAAAAACAGGAAATTTCTATGGAGTTATGGACAGTTTGCGACTGGTCACTCCATGACTAAACCTAGCACTTACTGTGAGAATATTTTTGCTTTCTGTCAGTCCCAAGTGTCCGTTCTTCCATCCCCAGGTGTGTGAGGAAGCGGGTCACTGTCAGGACACTGCCAGAGACAGCAGAGGGCCCCCCAGGGAAAGCCCTGGGCTTCAGAAATTGAGGGTGGGTGGTGCTAGTCCCTGCTTGCCCACAGGAAGGGGCACTGCCCAGTTCAGCGGTTGTCAGCCAGGGTCAGTTTGCCTTCCAGGCAACATTTGGCAACAGCTGGAGACATTTTGGTTGTCCCCACAGGGTGGGGGTGAAGGGCAGTGCTGCTGGCATCTGTGGTGGAGGCCAGGGATGCTGCCAAACTTCCCACAACACACAGGACAGCCCCCACAGCAAAGGGAGATCTGGCCCCAAATGTCAGCGGTGCCACAGCTGAGAAACCTGGCCCAGCTGACGAGATTAGGGATGAGCAATTACAGTCAACATGATAAACATCTGTGTTCTCAGCACCGGGTTGCCCTGCTATGCGAAGGCAGAGTGTTCCTATGAAACTTTCGTAAGCTGAAATGGCGTAAAGAAAAGAAGGAATTGCCATTAATTTATATGGAAAAAAACTTGAGCATTCCCAGACCCAAAAAATCACCTCTCTTAGGCTTTTCTGATAACATAAGATGAACCTTGACAACAGGTGTACAAAATACACCGAGATGAAGCACGGATGTTCCCAGACACGTGGAAGCTCTGGCAGCTCGACCCAGGGCAGGGCCGGCTGGGGCCACCCTCGCCACCCTGGGGGCTGGCTGCCTCCCCAGGCTCCTGCAGAGCATGCTGAATGCTCTCCCCGCTTTGGGGGTTATGTTTGTTTTTCATGAAAGACAAAATCCTCTTTGGATTTCTTTCCTTTAGCGAAAACAGACACCGACACGTGTCTTTTAAGAAAACAGTGGTGTAACAGGAACTTTCGGGAAATGGGGATTAAACGCCAAGTCTGAGTCTGTGCTGATTCACTTCTCACCGGGCCCAGCGGGTCTGGGGTCTTAGAAGAGGGGGAAGGCATCTCCACAGGACTCAAGCCTAAACAGGGTCTAGAATGAAAATGGGATTTCACGGCAGGAAAGACTGAAGATGATTTTCCAGACAGCGAAATCCTGCAGAGTGAGAATGAGTGGGAGGAGGGAAAGAAACGAGTGGAACCCACCCTCACAGTTCCTTATGCTTCTTTGAATTTAGATATCAAAACATTGCTAGGCGGTGGAATCCATAAACGACTAAAACCTAAAGTGATCCCTGTTCTTGATGACATCAAGGCCATGGCGGAAGGTAAGCGCTGAGACAGAAGTGACCGAGAACGGCCCACTCAGAAGTCTGGGGTCGCCCAGGCTTCCTTCCTGTTCTCCCTGGTTGTTGGCTGGGGCAAGAGCCACAGGCTGTGGTCATGCACACAGTCCATGGAAAGACACGCTGCCTCACAAGAAAAGCCTGGGCATTCACGGGCAGTTGCTTTCCTGGTAAAAAAAGGCATTTGAAATAATAGTGGCAGAATTTGACAGGAGCCCACCACCTGTTTTTGTAAAGTTATTGGAACACAGCATATTCCTCTGGTTGGATATCCTCTGTGGCTGCTTAGACGCTGTGATGACAGAGTTGAACAGTTGCAGCAGGGACCCTGTGGCCCACAGAGCCTAAAATATTTACTGTCTGACCCTTTGCAGTGAAAGCTTGTCAATTCCTGCTGGACGAGAAGCCTAGACAATTTTAGGTCTTTTGAGGTCTATGATTACTCTTTCCTTTTCCCTGTAAAGGAAAGTAGGGAAGTTTTTCAGAGTAGGAGTATACATATGTATCTTAGGCCATTAAGTCAGTGATGTAAGGGAGCAGGTATGTTGATTTTAAACAACTGCAATGGAAAAAAAGACCTCCCAGCTCTTCCAAATGTTGAGGAGATGTCAGTGCTAGGTCTTTGAAAAAGAGGACAATTTCATCTATGTAAAACATTTGTCATTTTGCCAATTTGAATTTTACTTTGATGAACTAATATTCCCGAGAAAATGGGCCATAAAGGAAGGGATTGTGTAAAAGCTGGAAATTTATGCCTGTGCCTTTTGGCATTCCTCCTCCCCCTTAGAGTTCAAGGACTCAGACGAAAGCCAGGAGTTGGTAAGATTAGTCTTCTCTAACTGAGAAGGACTTGCCTATGTCCTTCTTGACCCAGCAAAGGGTCCGGCTACTGCCTGAAGGCGTGTCACCTGCTGTGATGGCTCAGCCGTCTCCAGACCTGTTCTCATCCCCAACCAGTTCCTTTCGCTGGAAGGAAACTGAAGCCCAGGAAAGGGATGTGACTGCTAAGACCCATGCCTCTGCCTGGCTTCCCTAGCTTTTTACATGGAGCTCTCCCTCCCTCCCTCTTTTCCTTCCTCCCTCCTTCCCTCCTCCCTCCTGCACCTGGCCCCTGCCCATCATTCCTGTCACTTCCTGTCTGCAGCCACCAGCCCCCACCTTCCATTCCAGGCCAGGACTCTCAGTATCCTTCTGTTGTACGTCCCTGAAGATGTTGTTCTCCTTCACATCCCTCTATTGGGTGTAGTTCCTCCGCCCGAAATGCCCCGGAACCTCCCCCTTCATCTTACCCACCTACCAAACCACGGCTAAGGCTTCTCTCCTCTGCAGACTTCCCCTCACATCCAACCTCCTCCTTCCACATAATACAACATGACAACCTCTTAATTTCTGCTTCTTGCTTGGTAACCCTACATATATGGCTCATCTGTAGTAGTCAAAGCATTCCCTCTCTAATAGACAACAAGCTCCTTAAAGACAAGACCTGCTGATCTTGTTCACCTCTTTATTTCCATGGCAGGTGTGGGGACTCCTGGCCTGGTGTCTGGCCTGGAGCAGGTTATCATTTCTTGAATGAATAAATGCTGGCAACCCTTAACTTTGTTTTCTAAGAATATTACAACTTCACTCGTTATAAAGTAGAAAATGGATTATATTCTTTCACAGTCCTGCCTCAGTGGCTAGACAACTCCCTTTGAGTCAACAAGCTTCCTGATCTTTTACTTTTAATGTCTATAGTTTTACAACTATATTTTATTTGTGTAACTTGGTGAATTTTTTTTTTTAGTTGTCTTCAGTACACTTTATGGATGTATCTATATCTATCTATCTTGATAAGATTAAAATTGTTTTCATTGCTTTGGGAATTTGGGGCAATTCTTCTAATGAGAGGTCTTTCGAAGGTGCCGTTGCTGTGGTGTCAATGCCAAAGATCCATTCAGCGGCTTAAACAATAGGAAATATCACACGTGACAAGATCCTGGAGGTATAATGGCTCCAGGGTTAGTTGATTAAGGGGTTCAGCAACATTGTCTAGAAGCCCCCTGCTCCTCATCCCCTCTGCTATCCCAGTGTACTGGCATGGTTCCCAGCATCACATCACACGCAGTTGGAGCTGCCAGAGCTATCTTGAGAATATTACATTCTCAATTGGCAGAGGTGATGGTGTGCCACCTCTGAACTTCCATGTCTCTCCCATCACTCACTCTGGGAAGCCAACTGCCATGTCAGGAGCAGCCTTAGAGAGAGGCCCACATGGTGAAGAATGGAGGCCTCTTGCCAACCCCGTCACTGAGTCAGGAAACCAGTCCTCCAGCGCCGGTCAAGCTCCCTGTGAATGCAGCCCCGAGTGCAGCCTCACGAGAGCTCTGGACCCAGAATCGCCCTCAGATACTGTGTGAGATAAACAATGTATGGAGTTTTAAGCTGCCAACTTTGGGGCTAATTTGTTCCACAGCAATAATAATAATAAGGCAAGCAATCAACCGTGTCAGTTATGTTCCTATAAGCCATTAATTTATTGTCCAGGCTCCAGCACATGTAGAAGGAGACACAGAAGCCGCTGATTCCCCTCGTCAGTACAGACTGTTATTTGTGATTCATCAAATTTATAATACTCCTTGATGTTAAGACAGCATATATTGTCAGACCATTGGTTTAATAGGTATCTTTCTTGGGAAAGAAGCACGTATCTCATTAGATGCAAATCCTGATTAAACACGCATCCTCATTTTACTAAATGCAACAAAAAAAACCAAAATGAGCCACTGAACCAGGGAAATAGGATAATTTTTTAAACTCTGAAAGATGACCCACTATTGAGCCAAAAAATAATGAATGAAAGAATACATACACAGAAAGTGATAACTGGTGAGGCACTGATTTAGCGGAAGTCAGTGTATGAGAGTGGTGACCTCTCTTCCTGTTAATTAGTGCATCACCTTACGACTGAGCGTCACAGTTCTTTCCTGTGATAACCGCATTCACCACGCAAAGTGAACCCTTCATGGTCATGGCTGAGAAATGGCCCAAACCACATGTTATTGCCCTTTATGGAAAATTAAGTGGCACTTAAGTCATTGAGAGAGCCAACAAAGGACCTTGGCAGGGTGTTTATAAGGAGAGCATCAGGTCTACTCAAAGATGAAAGGGTGAATCTTTCTTACTTGAAAAGATATTTGAAACAGTGAAAAACACTTTCCTGGGTTTTAGTCCATTTTTACACTAAAGCCAAGATGTCCTTGGTCTGGGAGGTAAGTGGGGCCTTCCACTCACAGAAAGGTGGACCTCCCTATATTCTCTTTTTTGTTGGCTTCTATACCAAACCAAGCCAAACAAAATAGATTTCAGAGGGAGAGAGGGAGAGAGGGATGTGCCCAGGCTTGCTTTGACCCTTAGCTAGGTAAGGTCTAGAGATGTTTCTAGCAGAGATTTCAAAGCACTCTGTTCCTTGAATGCTGGCATTTCTTTTCACCTGGAAGTTGTCACAGGTTGGTACCAAGGAGTACACCTTCCTGTAAAGCTTCCTCCCAAATGACCACCCCAACCAATGGTGCTAACAGCCCCTCCTAAGCTTTATTGTCCATGCAAAGCCACTTGGCCTGCACCACACTGATGACATGTCCATGTTCTGCAGAGAAGTAGGAAGTTGATGCCTGATATTTGCAAAGGATGTCACAGTGTTTAAGGCATCTTCCGAAGTATATACCTTAATCCATGTAATTGTCACAGTGTCCCCGGGAGACTGGCAGAGGAGCTCTAATGAGCCCCGTATTATAAATAAAAGCCATATGACATGCCTAGAGCTTGAAGTCTACATTCTCTGGTTAAATCTAATGCTTTTTTTTCCAGTACTTGCTGAAAGGCTCGTAGTACTCTGCTTTAGAATAATCCAGAGGTAGAGATTTTTAAAGTTCAGGAAGAGCCCCCTGTGCTGTCTAACCAGGCAGTGTCCTTTACCAACAGGGGGACACCAAAAGCAGGGAGGAACCCGTTTGGGGATGAGGAGCCCACACTCATCCAACTGGCCAAATAAGTGAGCTTCAGGCCATTGTGAGAGGGAAGGAGCTTGTTGAATAGAACAAATTTCACCCTAAAGTTGGCAGGTCTTTCCTGCCTGGGTCCTCTGAAAATTCAGTCTTCATAAGCTGAGTTAAGTAAAAGGTGCTTCGTCATTTTCCAAATGTCTTAGAATTTGGGTTTTAACATCCAGAAGTTATTTGGGAGAGTTTTTCCGTCTCTCGCCATGATGGCTCTGATGATACATTCCTTCCTGTCAAGCAGCAGAATGATGTTTTCTGTACTGCCGAAGGGAGACCCCCACATGATCAGTACCCCAAGAGACCTGAATCAGCGGTCCTTAACCTTTTTGTTGCTGTGAACTGGTGACCACTATGGACCTTTTCTCAGGCTGTTTGTAAATGCATAATACAAAAGATGAAAGGTCACCAAAGAGACCAACTGGATTGAAATGTCAAACTATTAGAAAGGTGAATTTATAATGTAATAAGATACTTCTTTCTTAAGCCCATTAACTAACAGCATCTAGAAACCCTGATAACTACCATTATTTCAGTGTAATAATGAGCATACACATAGTATCTGTTTGTCAGATATTAGCAAAAAATTGAATATTGAATGAAAATACTTGTGATTTCTTTGGTGACAGAGACACTGACAGACATGCACTGTCTGCTTTCATAATAGAATAAAAGGCTGAATTTTAATTCAAGGCTAGTGGAAGTGAAGATTTCCAGATCCCTTTGAATTCCATCCACACAATAGAATTCACGCCAGCTTAAGAACCCCTGATTTTGTCTTGGATAGTTCAGGCTTATCCAGGTAACCAGATTCCATCAGAAACAGGAGCTCCAGGCTGTCATCAGTGTTGAATGAATAGTCTCCAGGAATTATTTTGTCACTTGCCATTTGAGCATCTCTCCTGCAGAAAAGAAAAGGAAGCCAGGACGTTCTTCCCAGAGAAGTTCCCTTCCACGGCTGCTCCCCTCCCCACCCTCACACCCCTCGCCCCATCCTCCGTCTTAGCAGGAAACACTGCCTAACTGGCAGGAACAGCTATGAGGAGGTGGGGGCTGCTGGCGCCTTGTCCTCCCACCCAGAGAGTTCATCACTTATGTAAAATGCTGAACCTTCGCTTTTTGCTGTCTCCAGCATGGAGCAGCCTCCAGTGCCCTCATCATACGTTCAAGTGTTTGCACTTCACCAAAGGATTAATAATGAATTGGGCTGGCTCTTTGGCCTGCTACAGTCAAACCTCTTCAGTCATCTCTCTTCATGTCTCATAAACATCTCTTAGGGAACGATGTGCCATGTGCCTGGTACATACAGAAAGTCTGTCTGTATCTGGCTTTCAGCTAAGTAAGTTGTTGGCTCAAGTAACTGACACTAGCTTCAGGTGAGGCCTGACCCAGTGGTGAGATTCTGCCATCTAGCTGTTCCCTAAATGTCTGCATCATCCTAATGCAGACTCCCCCTGAAGTTGTAACTCCAGGCATGCTGTTTCTCCTCCTCAGCCAGATTTCCCTCCAGGTGGCCACCTGAGGTCCCAAGGCCATCTCTGAACCAGTGCTACACATGGGAAATGGGTTGGCTGTGGGCAGCCAGGACCCACTCCTTAAGTTGGAAGTAGAACCTATGTTATCCAAACACAGGTCTGCTGTGCAGGGAGAGAGGTGGCATGGCTTCTGAGATGTCAGCCACCAAAGTCTGCTACGAGTATTTGTAGCTATGACTGGCCATGAAGTAATAGTTAGAAAGCTATTGAGTGTTGAGGGCCTGCCATGTGCCGGCGATCTCTACACTGGGTGCTTTTCTTGCACTGTATTAGTCACTGCTCACAAAAGCTCTGGGTAGAGGGGTATGGTCACCTCCACTTTACCAACTCAAGGCAGTAAGGCTCAGAGACCATGTAATTTGTCCAAGATCAGGTAGCTGTGAAGTGCTGGATTTGGTATTCAGACCCAGGTCTGGCTATAAAGCCTGCACTGCCTGGACTCTACTAGATGGCATTGTGGGTTCATTTGGGAGTGTTAAGTTGCATGGTGGTCCTGTCCCATTCACAGAAGATAGCATGGAGTAATTCTGGAAGAGGAGCTTGGAACCTGGAGTTCCTGTGCTGGGGTAGCCCCGGGGTGATGCCAGGAACTGCCAGTCCCCTGGTCCCTCAGAAGTTAGTGCTTTTGGGATATTGGTCTTCCAAGATCCCATCCAGCTCCACCATTATGTGAAGATAAAGGCTGCCAACAGTTTATGAGGAAAGCAATGTGGTTGACGTGTACCTTTACTCTTTGCCCCATGGTGTGACTGATTTTTAATGTTTGAATTATAATTCTCTTTGGGTTAAAGGCAATTAGCAGACTTTACTTTTCTCTTCAGTACTGCCTACCTTAGTATTAAAATTCTATTTTTTTTTAACATCAGCCCAGAAAAATTAAAGTTTAGCTTCTGCTATTACCAGCGCTTCTTAAAATGTGCATAATAAACTGCTTCGGCAAATTTTTTGCCAAAAGTTCTTTGCAGGCTTATGTGTTTACTGGCTTCTGGAGATAGCAGAAACATGCAGATAGATTTGTGCAAATCATACTGGAGCTGCAGGTCAGGAGAAAATGTGCTGTGAGCCAGTAAAATGTTAATTAACTAATTGAGAATCTGAAATACTTTTCCACTGCTTTGAGATACATAATATATGTGATCTTTGTAGGCCTGGAATGATGCCCAGATATAATCCAGTAGACATTTTATAGACATAAAATGCTATGAAGCCTTTGGAAAATATATGTATTTATTACCTCTGAGTCCTTCTTGGGACATGACACAATAGTCCCCATAACCCAGAATGTCTATTGATGGTGCCTTAATGGACACACAGTTTCTGGGCCATCAATTTATTTTATCATCCTTCATTCTTTGTTGTTGTTTGTTGCCTTAAGATAATTTATTTTGTGAATTTCCACTTTGACTAAAATGGAAAGGGTTATAGGGTGTAAGCCACACACATTAAAAATGTGAGGTGTGCACTGTGTGGTATGAAGAGTATTTTGGAACTTGTTTGCATTATTCTGTTGTATTTTTCTAGTTGCAGACGGGTTTTTTGTTTCTTGTCTTGCTATGACATATTTCTTGAGCCTCTCTATGAGCTGTAACAGATCCATGCTTTGCTGATAATCCTGGGAGGGAGGTAGGAGAAGTGAGAAACTGAGGCCGAGAGACTCTGTGATAAAGTCTTAAATATTATTATAATCTCAAATATTGTGAAGCTACAACAGAACCAAAATTGAAGAGAAATGATTGTTTGAAGCAGACTTTAAGATTTTCTGCTCAGATAAGGTGATAGAATTTGGTCAGTCATCATACAGTCCAATCTGGGAGGACCCCCCGGTCACTCACAGGCCTACTGGGACACAGTCTGGAATCAGACTCTCCTATAACTAGAAATGGCCCATCCAGTTTCCTAACTTACAAACGAGGAAGCGAAGGTTCCCCAGAGGTGAAAGAGTTTGCTGAAGGTGCTCTAACAATGTGACGGCAGAGCTGGGCTGAAACCTGAGAACACTTTTGGTGAGATTCCACCGCACGAAAGCATTAAAGTGTGTGTGTGTGTGTGTTTGTGTGGGTGTGTCTTTTGCATTCAAGGTTTATATGGTTGCCAGGGCAAGTTGGGGAAACTAGTTTTTAAGGGCATTGACAGTTTTCCTAGCAACACCCAATTGTGGCTTGACACTCGGCCATGTTTTTTCTGAGCCCCAAAGACTTTGTGTCTTAGAAGAAAAGCAGTGGCCTCTAATTTAAATTTCTCATCTATTACTTCTGTGGCTTGAAGTCACTGTAGAGAAGAGTTGTAATTCAGTAATTCCCTAGTTGGGAATACAGAGCTCTATGCCCCAGAGAAATCAGGATGGCAAACAATTATATTAAAGATTTCCTCACAGGGGCAGACCTTAGAGATACTGTGGGTTCAGTTCCAGACCACTGCAGTGAAGTGAATATTGCAATAGAGTGAGTTAAATGAATTTTTTGGTTTCCCAGTGCATATGAAATTTTGTTCACCCCACACTGTAGTCTACTAAGTGTGAAACAGCATTATGTCTAAGAAAACAATGTGTGCACCTTCATTAAAAAATACTTTATTGTTAAAAATGCCAACCGTCACCTGAGCTTTCAATATGTTGTAAACACTAATCACAGATCATCATAACAAATATAACAATATTGGAAAAGTTTGAAATATTGTGAGAGTTACCAAAATGTGACACAGAGACACAAAGTGAGAAATGCCACTTGTAAACAGGGGCTGACAGATTTGCAGGGTTGCCACAAACCTTCCATTTGTAAAAATCACAGTATCTGTGAAGTGCATTAAAATGAGTTATGCCTATAAAAGAATGTGTCCTGGGCTGGGGGGCTTCTAAGTAAAACAGATGCACTTAACTGCCATAGAGGAGTTTCAGTCTGATCATCCTAATCATCACGTTTCATGGTGGTGGTGGCTTCACCACTTTCAGATGAGGAAACTGCTCAAGAACTTTAGGAGTCAACTTCTGGTTACACAGCAAGTAGTGAGACTGGAATCTGCACCTAGACCTGCCTGCATCCCAGTCCGTGCTGTTAACCATTGCTCTATGTTTAATTCCAGCTCTTTGAATATCCATGTCTAAAATATGCTCTGGGTCTGATTGGTTTTTACATGGGTTAAAACTGCACGGCACTGACGCTGCTTGCTCGTCGGGCTGGGCTCTTCAAGGCTCCCCTAGGGCGGCAACAGCTTTTCCTGCCGCTGCTGCGCGGGTGCTGGCCTGGTGTCTGCATCGCATTTCAGGGTTGGTGACTGGCCCCACTTATTGTTGAAGGAGCCCCCCGAGAGGGGAAGCTGGAGTGGCTGGAGTAGCCGACAGAGGCCAGCAATGTCCCCGGATTCCCCACCCAGGGGCTTCTCGGGGTGCCTTCCGATGTCATTCACGAGCTCATCTCAAGTTTCTTAGGGCACTTCTGTAGATGAGAAGGTATTTGCTGTTGCCAGCCTCGCTGTGCCTCTGTTCTGAAGTGGCTGTGTTCCCACAGCCATCAGAGAGACAAAGGAAGCCCTGATGAATGTGAACATTACCTTAAATGAGATAAAAAACTCAACTGCGCAGCTGAACACCAGCCTGAGTGCCGTGAAAAGGAACGTGGAGCAATCCCTCAACGACCCCATGTGCTCTGTGCACTCAGTGTCTGCCACCTGCAACGACATCAGAAGGTCTCTAAGCCAGCTGGATGACAACGTCAACTTGGATCAGGTGAGGAGGGTGACCTTGCCGTGGGGAGGTGTCCCTGGGGCATGGGGACAGCTGGGCAGGGCTAACGTGTGGGTGCACCTGTCCGGCATGGGGGCCTGGGTCTCTGTCAGCCTTCTTACTTACACACCATAACCACGCTGGAGTGGCCTCAGCAGGAAAGAAGGAATGACGGGAAACCTCTAACTGAGAGTTTTCTGCAGTTGATTCAGTGGAACATATCAGAACAAATTCAGATTTGAAAAGAAAAAGGAAGCAGAATACATTTTGAGGATCTTTAAAAATTAAAATATATTTCATTTTTAAATGATGTGCCTAATGTATTAGCCACATATGCCTAGAATAAAAGCATTTGGAGCAAACTGAATATCTTTTGTCATCACTGAACAGTTTTTTAGAGCCTAGAATCTACACTTGTATTTAAGTTGAGATGGAGAACGGTGGAGTAACTTTTCATTTTTTTGTACTTTAAAACATGCAGAAAATTTGCAAGATTGTTACCAGGACTCCCTGTCTACACCCTTTACCCAGATTCACCAATTGTCAACATTTTGCTCCATTTGCTTAATCATATTATTTTCTCTTTATCTATCTTTGTGTCGATCATTTATCTGTTCATATCCTCACATATATGCATAAAATACTATGCATTTTGATCTTTTTACAATCATTTGGAGGTAAATCACAGACACTATGTCCTCTTAGCCCTAAATATTTCACGGTGTTTCCTAACTTTACATAACCATTAACACAATTATCAAAACTAGGACATAGAACACTGACAATACTACCGTCTAATTCAGTTGATAATACGAATCTGCCAATTTTTCTAAAAATGCTATTTACAACGGGTTTTTTTTCTCCAGTCTAAGGTCAAGTCCAGGCTCATACGTGGTTTTCAGGGGTCATGTCCCTTCAGTTCTTTTCATCTGGACCACTTTCTCAGTCTGCCTTTTCCTTTTGTAGAAAAGGAAATTTTTGAGGACTGGAGGCCATTGACTTTCTAGAACGGCCTTCCATTGAGGTTCATCCACTGCCCCAGGATTAGAGCTCTGCGTGTTTCTCAGGGATGTCACAAAGGTGATCCCATGCCCTCCTTGGGACCTCGTGTCAGGGTGCATGAAGTTTGTCCCAGAACCGCTTAAAGGTAGAACGCTTTCTGTCTGTGTGTAAAGTTACCAATGAAAAATTTATTCCAGACCACTCACCAATATAACCATGGACTGTGTTGCTTTCAAACACATTTTTAAAAAGTTCGCTTACAACTTTATTCAATAGTCAGTACTTGCAAGCGTGAGGTCACACATACTCAGTCTGTGTTAAATTTCCTTCTCTCATTTTTAGCCAATTTCAGCAGGAGGCCTCCAGGCATCTAAAAAGTAGGGCCTGAAGAGACCATTCTGAGTGAAATGTTTTTTTCCCAAGCAATACTGTGCAAAAGGAATAAGACAAATTCATTTTCTGTAATATGGAAAGAGACTTTGGGATTTAGATGTAACATCACTCCCTTTTTTATGACAAATGATTTTGGGGGTAACCATACCACTTCATGTTTTGTTTTATACATTTTCAGCTTCCACCTTTGGATCAGCCAATGAATAATGTTAATGATGTTCTTCAAACGGATTTGTCCAGCCTAGTCCAAGAGGTATGTTTCTTGGAAAAACTGCAGTAGCTTAGTTTATATACCATGTTATGGGGTAGACCAGTGCATTAGAAAATAGGTAACAGCAAAAAAGTAGTGAAATTCCAGTGAGGGGTTACCAGGAAGGGTCATGAGTCTTACACTTCAGGTAAGTTTGTTCATGACAATTCAGGAAATTTTTATTAAGTATCTGTTATGTGCAAAGCACCATAAGAGATAAAAAGAAAAACACAATCTCATCTGCCTATGGCTCAGAATTTGATGGTGCAGGGCTGGACCCCCTACTGATTCTACCACAAGATGCCCCCCATCTCCCACTCTGCCTGTGAGTCCGCCACGTTGGTTTTCTTTCTTCCCACTTGTACACTTTTGCACATGCTGACTGACCCTCTCTTTTCTCCCTTTCCCTTGGCTAGCTACTTTAGCTACTAAATATTAGCTATTTTAATCTTATACCACTTTCTTAATGAGGCCTCTCCTGAGCATCTTCACCAGATCAACCCCCTTTTAATACATTCTTGAAGCATTGTGAATATTCTTTGTTAAGTTGAGCATAGCTGTAAGTATTGCTTTAATGTCTTGGTTGCCCTACTGGACTGCTATGGTGAGCCCTAAAAGGCAGGAACCACACTGGGCTAGAATACTGTGATTCCCCCAATAGTCTACCAGTTGTTGCTGTTTATTCAACCATATATTGAGTGCTCAATAAGTAACTCTTTGTAGATTATGATTCAGTAAGAGTACCCTGGGCCTCTAAGAAAGGAAGAGAAATAGTTTTCTTCTTGACTCTGTTTTTGAGCATGGATATAAAAAATCACCAAGTATCTGTTAAACACTCATCTGCACATACTGACAAAGTAAGTGTCCCCTTAAACACATGATTAGAAGCTCTTGGTCTTTGTCCTGTGGTGTCCCCTTATTTGTTAAATGAAGGAATTTGAACCAGGAGATCTATAAGTCCCCTTTCCGCCATAAAATTTCATATGACAGGAGACTTCCAGAAGTCCAAACCCAGAGAAATATAGAGGCATCAGGTGTACAGAAAAGCAACTCGGGTTTGGTGTGCTGGGCAGCTGAGTCACCTTTAAGGAAACAGAAGTCGTGGACATTCTTTAATGGCATTGATGTTGCTAGTCTAAGGTGGAAACTTGCTGGCACTATGAATCTTACGAAGTGTATAACTTAGATTGGACTGCTATGAAATAATACCACAGAGTGGATGGCTTATAAACAAGAGAAATTTATTTCTCCCAGTTTTGGCAGCTGGGATTCTGAGATCAGGTGCCAGCACAGCCAGTTGCTGCAAGCCCCAATCCAGCTTGCAGAAGGCCATTCTCTCTCTGTGTCCTCACATGGTGGATAGAGCCCTCAGGTCCCTTTTATAAGGGCAGTGATCCCATTCATGAGGGCTCCACCCTAAGACCATCACATTGGGGTTAGGATTTCAGCATATGCATTTGGTGGGAGGGGGGGACACAGGCAGTTCATAACAGGTGTGATCACTCCAGTGTTCCTCAGCAGATGGCTAAATACACCAGCACACAATTAGGAAACAACCTAAACCCCTTCCAGAGGAAAGGCTGGATGTTTAGTTGAGTTACTTTAAAATAATAGCGTTTTCCTATAGCAGACTCAGCCCCGCCGTGATCTAGCTCAGCGTGGCTGGTTTTTTTTTTTGCATTTTAGCCTCACTACAGTTTGTCTTCTCTGTAAACTGTCTTAGGGCATTGTTGTTCTCTGTGAGATACATCTCCAGTTTTATTTTGTAATTGCATTGGAAAAGAAGATTCTATTTTTAGAAATTCACTTTACATCTGCACTTGGTACATTGCACAGAACAGTTTCTTAACCTCAACACCACTAACACTTGGAGCTAATTCTTGTTGTGGGGGCTGTCCTGTGGATGGTAGGATATCTATTAGCATCCCTGGCCCCTGCTCACACAATTACAGAGACAACACCAACGTTGTGATTACCCAAAATGTTTCTTGACATTGCCAAATGTCCCCAGGGGGACAAACTTGCCCCCAGTCGAGACATGCGGGTATTGATACATGTAAACTTTTAACATGAGTCAAAAGCTACTGGCTAAAAACTTTGAACATGATCTCTGATGGAATACAATTTAAAGAAAGTCTTCTCTAGAGGGGAAACTTTTTAGACTTTTAAAGACCATGTGATGGGAATCTCAACCTCAAGATGAATATTACATTTTTATTTTGTTTCTCTTCTCCACCCTAAGCTGAGAAATGAGTACTTGTTAACTGCTCTTTTAATTACTATGTGTATCAATTTATTTCAAATATTTTTAGGGCTATAAATCCTTTAATGGTATACCGGAGATGGTACAGAATCAAACCACTGACATCATATCAGGTGAGATTCACAGTCTGAAAAAATTTAGTATCTCTTCTTGTTAAGAATTAGCTGGTTAGTACCAAAATAAAAAAAGAGAAATATGTGTACTGTTCAAGAATTATTTTGGGTTTTTAAGAAATATTATTAAAAATATTCTCAAACTAAAAAAATACATTGTCCAACTAAAATCTTGAAAACGGAATGAATATCAGAGCTTTTCAGTTGTGCCACCTTCACACAGCAATGTAGATTTAAAAAAAATGAATCTTCCTGTTGAACAGCGAAGACGGTCACCCTGCTGGCTGGGAGCCGCACGGTCCAGGGCTGTACCATGAAAGTGAGCCACTGCCAGGAGCCGTCAGAGGTCGTGCTCTGATTGTTTTCACTGGGAAGAAACTGGAGATAATTTTATTTTTTTAAAAGGACTTAAAAACTGATTTTTTTTCCCTTAGGGACACTGTGTATAAGGATTTACTTTATCATTTTAGGAAGATGTTTATCTGCCCTTTGATGCTGATGCAGTGGTATGTTAGGGTCTTAAAATGCTTACAACTTCGTAGACAGGACTGATACTGAGAATTCTACTGTTCTTAAAGGATTGAATCACATATTCGGGTGATAGTATTTTGGATGAATGTTCAGAGAAAGAATGCAGTGTCCTCTGTGCAGGAATGGGATAAAACTGGGTTATTTGCTAACAGAAGACACCCCTGAAACTGTGCAGCACTATCTTCTCATTAAAGAAAATATCTTCCAGTTCTTCTTTTTATCTGTTAAGCAAATGGTTTTAAAATATTGCATTGGAGCTATTTGATTTTTTTTTTCTTATAGTGTTCTTTCAACTCATTCAGACTTTGGGTAGAAAGTATTTTATCCTACTCCATAGCGCTTTAGATGTTTGGTGGATTCCCTTTTGTTTAATCTAAGATTCTGCTTTAAAATATTAAGATATTAAAGACAAAGCCCATGCTTTCCTAACACATGCTATACATCTGATAGCCACCTGCTTACTAATCTGTGTTTATTTTTCCCCCCTTTCTGGACCTCTTCTGCCAGTGCGGGCAGCTCTCCCTTGTAAGTGCGGCAAAGCAAGGTGTGCAGTGTGTGTGAATGAGGCACATTGCATACACTGTCACTGGCTGCACACAAGCCGGAGTTTTCCCAGGTCTAGGCGAGCACCATTCCATCAGCTTGAATATCAACTGCTTATTTTCATGTCCTTCCAAAACAAATAAAAACCCTTAGCTCCCCTGCTTTGATCGTTCAGTTCTATGTTGCCCACATATGTTGAGTGCCTACTATGTGCCAGGCTCTGCCAGGCTGTGGGGATGAGAGATGAGTAAGGTATGACCCCCACCTACCCTTCAGCTGTGCATGTATACAGATGTCATTTATCACACTCTGGTAACATGACAAGGCACATACAAGGCATCAGAGGTGGGGGGACCATATGGAAGGCTTCCTGGAGGAAGCAACATCTAAAGTGAGGCCTGAAGAAGATATGTGATGAGAGTGGGCACCCAGCCATGTAGGGTCCCCACAGCTGGCAAGGCCGGGGGCTGTGCTATGTGAGCAGGCGGGTCAGTGTAAGAAGCTGAAGGGACCCAGTTCTGAGTTCAGGGAACTGTTCCCAGGACAGTAGAGGTCTGCATACCCCAGAAATGCCAGAGCTGAAAAAGAGACCACTGAGTCACCTAGGGGACAGACGATCCTGGGGTCTGTTGGCACACAAGCCATTTGGGGGAGACCTGGAGCCACTGTGCAAAGTCTCCTCCTGTGAGCTCTCAATAGTTCATATCTGTGTGAACAGCATGCTTTGAAAGAGACAACCACCATTTTTATGTAATTGCATTGTGGACCCTGCTACCATCCACCAAAGTTCCCTGGGCGCCCTGGGATCACGTCGTGAGAACAGCCGGTCTGCCTTTGCTGCTGCAGAGATCTTGTGAGGACTTCGTGTGACCCTGGTGTGCACACTGGACCATGTGGCCCCAGGGGTTTTCGATCCCAGGACCTGATTTGATGGGCGCTTTCCAGAAAATGGGAACTTATCTCCTCTCTGAAAGATTAGGATTGATATTAACAGACACTGTTTGACCAACTGGGAATACTGTTGCTTTTTGCATATAAGAGACACAGGGGGACTTCAACAAGTCTCAAGTTGTATCAGTCCAATAAAATTTTAACAAAAGTACCACCTGGGGTCACTCATTAAAAAATTAGCCCTGTAGAATTACGGTGTTCCTGAATGCCATTTCTTAGATGAAGTTTATTAAGCTATTTTTCCAAAACCATTTAACAGAAGCTTTAGAGTTAGATAAAATCCAAGTTTCAATCCCATTTCTAAACGCTTTCTAAAAAAGAGACCTATGAGCAAGTAAATTAACATCTATGACCCCAGGATTACTATTAGTAAAATGGGAAGAATATCCTCAGTGGAATAAATGAGTTAGCATTTATAAAAGTGCCTGGCCCATAGTAGGTACACCATACTTTTAATCACCCAGTCTTTTTTTTCTTTTTTTTTTAAGTGAAGTACAAGAATAAAACCCTGGCTTGATTTCAGCACCATCTCATTGCAGTCACTGCTCATAGCTTTTGCTGTTTTAAGTATTTGCACCTTGATGGTCTTGGCTACATTTGTGCTTGTGGTAGGACCTTTCCATGCATAAGATGAAAAAAGCTAAAAATGGTTTAAGCTTTTCAATTTTGTTCCAGAACAAAACTTCTGTTTCCTCTAGGTCTGAAAATGTATAACCTAGGTATCTTTGTTTTCAGATATCAAAAGTACCTTGAATTCCATTGGTTCAGATATCACCAATATAAGTGAACAGATTCCCATTCAGGATAAGCTTGCAAATTTCATGGCTTACATTAATGACACAGAAACTTTCATCCACCACAAGTTACCCATGTTGGAGGAATATGATTCATACAGGTGAGTGTCTCCTTTGAGCTAGTAACCTAGGAGAGTGAAACTTGCTATGGAATAGAATAGAAATTTGACATTCTAACCAGAATAATCTCATGAGAGCATGTTGTACAGAGACCATGACCTCATAAATGTTAACCTTAGTGTATGTTCATTAAAAAAGATGAAGTGTTCACTTTGGCAGCGTATATACTAAAATTGGAACTACACAAAGATTAGCATGCACACTACACAAGGATGACATGCAAATGCATGACGTTTTGTGTATTTTTTTTTTAATTTGAAGACTGGAAGTTCTTGAGCTGTGTTTCCAATAACTTGCAATTTTGATGTTATCAGTGGCTTATAGAATATTAGTTATAATTATCTGAGATATGCAACAGGATTTTAAAGCTTAAAAATAATTACGAAGGGTGTTTGGATTATATTCTTCTCTTCATTGCTTTAGAAATGAGTGTGTAGAGATTGATTCTTAGAGAAAGAGCATCCTTGTAACCAGTAAATTGTTTGAAGAGCTCAGGTAAGCAGCTGTTGTTTGCCCAGGAGAAAATGCTAGTGCTGGGGATTGGCCCTGGGAGATAACAGTGGACAAATCTAAGACAAGAATGCGAGGCAGGAAGGTTCTAGAGACTTGAGGTATTTCCAGGATGGCGTGCATGACATCTCATTTAATACTCACAAGCTCCCTGGTTGTATTCTGTTTATTACCCAGTTTCACAGACAGGAAATTGAGGCTCAGGTGGGTGAAGTGACTTCCTTCAGGCCAGCCATAATATGGCACAGGTGGGTTTTCAACCCCCATCTGACTGTACTCTTAATCATGGCCCTGGAATCAACAAGCAGGTGTCAGAACAAGCGTGAGGCAAACCCTTCTTCAATGAACTCAGCATCTCAGTAGAGGTTATAGTTTCACAAATGCAAAGAAAGGTACAATTGTCTGTCTACATGTCAGCTCCCCCTGCCTTTCACTTCACCCTGCCCCAAGACTCTAAGCTTATTTTAAAAAGAAATTTGACGAGGCAGGTGAGGCATGCATTAACTGTAGAAGATTTCTGAGGCCAGATTCCATGCTTACTTTTGTGTTACCAGTATCTGGAACAAAACACCACAGAATGGGTGCAGGTGGCTATGATAATTATCAAGATTGCTTTTAATTGAATGAAAAGCTTTAGTAGTGGCTTTTTTTGCAGAAGTAAATTCTTTATTTTTTAGTGTTTGAAAGGTTGGGAAACATTTCTACCCTTGAACGCTCCTCAGCTGCTGGAAAAGGTTGTTAAACATTCCGGGAATGCCAGGAAGACCTAACTGAGGATCCATATCCTAAAACATCCCACAGCACCATTACAAAATTGAGATTTGCATTCTGCCAGCATTTGATTTAGGATGCTTATAAAGTTCTAAAATATTCATTGCACTTGCCATGTAGAGTTTTTTCTGGGTTGATAAAGATCACAGGGCTCCCCAGAGATTCCCGCCACCATAACACATTTTAGAGAAAGACCAGGGAAAAGGGCCTGATATTTCTTCATGTGTGGTCTAGTCCTGCTCCATCCACAGCCCACCAGCACTATCATAACCCCTTAGAGCATCAGGAGCCCGGAAGGAACCCAGACGTCGTAGGGGTACTGTTCTCAGGAGCCTTGGGAAAGTCGCATAAACCCTAGTTTCAAGCCCCCTGGAAGTGAAGCAAAGGAAGGAAGCAACTGCCCGTGACCACTGGGTGTGAGCGCTTCAAAGCCAAGATCAAAATAAGGTGTCCTGTCGGTTGGGTTGGAGAACTCAGGATGGGAAGGGACAGGATCACCCTCTGGGGAATTAACGGAGGAATTTGTATTTGGTTGCCAAGGAGGACCCAGCCGCGCCAGCCCTTGTCTGAGAGCTTCTGTGTCACGAGCCTTACGCAGCATGACTCTGAGCTTGCTTCTCCAGGTGGCTGGGGAGCCTGATTGTCTGCGGGCTGCTGACCCTCATCGTCGTTTTCTACTGCCTGGGCTTGCTGTGCGGCATCTGCGGCTACGACCAGAGTGCCACCCCAACCAAACGAGGCTGCCTCTCCAACACTGGAGGCGTCTTCCTCATGGTGTGAGTGCCGTTCTTCCTTGCCACGTGGGGTGGCAGTGCAGGGCGGAGAGCGGGTTGCTCGGTGTTGCATGGTCTGGTGGTCTCTGGGCTGAGCACTCTGGTTCCAGTGGAATCCGGGTCTTGATGTGATGGTACTTTATCAGTTTGGGAAATTCCATCAAGCATAAAAAAGTGAGAGGAAACTCTAAATTGGTTGTAATTTGATAGACAAGATTAAACACCATGTTTATATATGGCTCCGCTAAAGGAGCTATCATGGAAATTATTTCCCAGTTTGCTTTCTTGATTCCCATTTTTTTCCCTCCATCCTCCCTCCACCCCGTCCATCCATCTGCTCACCACATGCTTGGTGAAGATTGACCTGGTAGGAGACACTGTTCTATACCCTCAGCAGTATCACTAGCTTCTTCAATTTAAAACTCTAGAAACTTGATTTAGAACAGAGGTTGCCAACCCGGAACTGTTGGGATTTTGACAAATGGCCTAAATTAGTGATGAGAGCAGGTATGAGGTAGCAGCAAGGGGTCACCCTGCAGTTCGCTGAAGCAGTTGTCCCCCTGCTTCAGAGATACTCATATCCAAGTTTGTATTTTTGAGAAAACCCTCTACTTTACCAGCATGTGACAAAAGAAGGGCCATGAGCCGGTGTTAGTGGACACGGAGCCAGACACGTAGACCAGGGTGAAGGGAGAGAGGCCTTGAGGCTCCCCAGAGAGGAAGCTGTGGGCTCCAGATTTCTATTCTCTTTCTCAATAAGCTCATCAAGAGTCAGTGGCAGGGAGTGTGATGTGCTCAAGGGGAATGGAAAAGATTTGGGACAAGTCCCCAGGGCAATGGAGAATCAAAATCTCAGCCACTCGCTCTCATTTCTCTCCTTAGATCACTAGTACCAGGCTGAGAGAAGCTGGAAAGCAAGTGACATTCATTAACTTGCTTTTTAAATGCTGGGTCTCTCTAACAATTAATGAGACTTCTTAGGAGCTGTGATTCTAAAGCCTTTCCCTTAAATCCTTAGGCGCCGATACAGTACAAGCTTTTATTATCACTGATGCAGGCTTAAGAGTCTTAAAAGTAAACTGACAGCTAATGACAGAAGAGGTGGACAAAAGTGCACAGAGCTCTACATGGAAAAGCCTGCTTGCTCACGTGCCTAAACTTAAGAAATTAAACCAGCAGTGAAGCGTGTATTTGTCTAGTCTATTTGCTGAAAGATACAGATAGATGGCAAATTAATGTTCAGAACAGAATAATCCTTATATTTGGCTGTTTTTGTCAATGTTTTGGTGGTGAATTTACATATTGCATCTTTGATTGATTGAAGTTAACTGCTCACACATATTTTAAGGATGAATCCAAAAAATGTGACCCAAAAAGTCTAGCTTTAAAGAAAAAACAGGGGAGTTATGAACAAATTGATAGGCTCAAGCTATGGCAGTTTGGACGTAATACTTCTAAAGACAAAGTCCCATGGAACCTGAGGTTTGGGGTAGGATTTATCTCAGTGGGAAAAAGACTGGTAATTTCAGACGCTGCCAGATGCATATCAGGGGGCCTGCAGACCGAGGGTGGCTGCGATCCCGTGGAGGCCCGCTACTCAGCATGACACGCTTCGCTGTGCTTGGCAGAATTCTCCATCTCTGGAGATGTCTGGTAAACAACTGGCTAGTTGTAGAGGGAGAAAATGAAACAAGTGTAGTCAGTCAGTCTAATCAGACTAATTAGAAGAATGTAGTTTCTTCTTGAACACTGTTTACTTGCTTGTAGAAACAAGAATCTATTTCAGCTGCAACCAAAATACCACCTGCTCTTTAAAAATGGTGACACCATCCAGTCAGGAGATGGGTCTCTTTAAAAACCAAGCAAGAGCCCTTATCTCCTAAGAGGATCCTAGTTAAAGATCTGGAAGGCAGGCAGAGAGCGCTGGCTTCACTCTGATCCTGTGCCTCCTGAGGGTAGGAGCTGAGTGAGATGCGCTGGGGGGCACACCGCTGCTGTGGAGGGACGTGGGTTCCCCTGAGGGAAGAAGGTCCTAAATGAGACAGGAAGAAAACAATCCCTTGCACCAAAGCCCTTTATAAAACTTCCAATTTTGACTCTTGAACACACTGCCAAGATTATCCAAACCTTTGAAGAAAAACTAATACCTGATGTAGTCAGTGTCACAAAACGGTAACCGGGGACAGTGTCATTGGTTAAAGATACTTCAGAAAGCAGTGTGTCAGGCATTAGCCGGGACCATGAAGAGACTGTGAGCCCCTTGTCAGGTCATTCCTACCTTAGGGAATCTACTTTAAGGAGTTAGATCAAACTGAGGGCAAAACTTCCTGAGCAGAGAATTGTTTTTGCAGTTGTAGTTTGTAGTGAGGCATTGGAAATAACGTGGTTCTCAGCTACCACAGAGTAGGTGATCATGTGGCCTCTGAAGTGGTAACTAGGTTGGCTTGCCTGGATTTTGACAGAGGTTTCTAAAATGTTTGATAAGGGCTCACAAGATTATACATGTGTCATTCAGCAGGCACATGAGGAGTTGGCCAACTTCTATGAAGATCCAGGTGATAAATATTTTAGGTTCTGCTGGCCACATACATTCTTTATTGCGTGTTATTTTTCTTGTTCTTATTCTCCTCTGCAACACTTTTTAAACAAACATTAGCTATTCATATTGCACTGACCTTACAAAATCAGGCCTTGGGCAGTTTTATGCCCCTGATCTAGAGACTGGCATATTTAAAAAAACAAAGCCTGCCAGTGTCACTAGGATTCACTTTAGAGTTGTGGTGTTGTTTTGATATGTTCTAGCAAAGGTTTTGGTCATTTGTGTAACTAACACACACACACACACACACACACACACACACACACACACACTGATGAAACCATGGCAGTTGGCACTGCCTTCCCCTCTTTGCCCTCTCCCTAACTCAGAAGTCCTGTAGGTCAAGAGGTTCGGGCTCACAGAGGCCCCTCCAGCAAATACAGCTTGCTATTTCAGGGAAGCCAGGCAAAGATTTGTAATGAGGCCTGGAGTGTTCCCACTGGCGAGAACTGTGCGCCTGGCAAGGATGCCGTTGGTAATGAGAGCCGCAGCCTCGGCACTTCTGCAGGGCCTTCCTGGTGAGCACCAGTCATGGCACATGGTTTGGCTACTCTACCTAGACCAGTTTCAGAGTTTGCTCTGTTTGTGTCTACATCTGGGCAACTGGGCACTGCTACAGAAAAGTCAGACCAGAGGGCATATTGGCACTCCTGCAAAACTGGGATCTGCCCTCTAAATGGGCCCTCCACGGCCTGCCATGTTCCCTTCTTCTCTCCCTCCCTCCCTTCCTTCTCTTCTAACCTCTCTTCTTCCCTCTTCCTTCCTTTATTCTGCAATGGCTTTTCCTCTCATATCCATCCTCCTTATTCTCCCGCTCTTTTAGCAGGTGCTTTTACATCCCTCTTCACAGAGAAAACAAGAGCTGTCATACAGCCTCCCAGCACCAGCACTGCACACGCACCTGGGGGCCCCCGGGCGTGCCAGCTGCGGAGGGGTGGCTCCCAGCAGACCTGTCCCGCCAGCTCTCCATCCCTCCCCACCCACTGTCCCTGCAGTGTAGCGGACCACCCTTCCCTCTCCTGTGTCAGCATTCTCTTCCTCTCCCCTAGACTTTCTTCTTGACACTTAAACGTGTTCTGTTGTCTCCCCTCTTTAAAAATGGAAACAGAAACCCTCTACCCACATCACGTCCTCCCTCTAATGCCCTCCTTGCACAGACGCCCCCAAATGACGATGGACGTCTGCTGGCTCTGGTCCCTCATCCCCCACTCCCCAGCCCTCTCCACCCTGAGTTCCTCTGCCACTCCCACAGTGGCGTCTACATCTCCAGTGCAGCAGACTTGGTAATTCCTCCCGACTGTGTCCTCCCGGTGGTGTTCAGAACAGCTGGCCCCTCCCTCCTTCTTCAAACACCCCGCTTCTCCTTGTGCAGCATCACACCCTGATGTTCCCTTCCTGCCTCTCTGGCTCTGCATCTTGGTCTCGTTGACTGGCTGCCCTTCCAGTGGTGAATCTTCCAGGCCAGGCCTAGGCTGCGTCTCCCTCGGCTCGTCTCCGAGCCCCCAGGATCATTGACCATTGCTAAGCAGCCTCCGACCCAATATCTGCACTACGACAGAGCTGCCTCCTCTCCAGCACCGCTACCACAATGGCTTGGGGGGAGTGTGAGCAACACCCCATGTTCCCTGCCCTCCAGAGCATCAGTGCCCCCTGTCCCTCTGACAAGCCTGGGCCCCTTCCTTCCATTCCTTCACCTCTGGCATGCAGCTTTTCCCCAGGCCTGCTGCTTCTGTGCACTGTGTCCCCCTGCATTCCTCTGCTGACTTCTCTCCTCCGCCACCAGCCACATCAGGCCACCACCCAGGGCCAGATAACAGCTCCTCAGTGGCATCCCATCCATGTGGGCACCTGGCCATCCCATCCTTCACGCTCTGCCAAAAGTGTTGTTCCTCAGAGAGAAATTGGGCTGTGTTCCCACTGTGCTTAAAGGCTCTCCGCAGCTTCCCCTCCCAGGCCCCGCCAGGCCCTACCCAGTGCACCCTGCCCACCTCCTGAGCTGCCACCCTCAGCCTCTCCCTGACTGCAGAGCTACCCTTTGAGATTCCCCAGGGTACTTTTCTGGCCTCAGAACTTCCCCACTCACTGGGTCCTCTGCAGAAAGGCTTGGTCCCCTCAACGGACTCCCGAGCCCATCTCTGGACCACAGAGCAGAGCTGCAAGGAGACCGAGGGCTGGGTCACAAGGGTTCCCTAAATATGAGCCTAGGCCTGCAAAGATCACTTCCTGTCTTCACTGCTGGGCAGGCTGAGCTGTTCAGCCTGCAGAAAACAGGGGACTCCAGGTCCACTTTCTACACTAACACTGAATAATTACAGTGAAATCACTAACTTTACTTCTGTTTCTGTCCAGCGGGGTTGCAGTGAGTTTCATCTTTTGCTGGATGGTGATGACCATCGTGGTTCTGACTTTTGTCATTGGTGGAAATGTGGAAAAACTGGTCTGTGAATCTTACGAAAACAGGAAGCTATTCCAGGTAAATATCGTTTGTGTGCCCAGGGGCTTCCATAACGCTTCCTGAGTGGACCCAGGGAGTGGGAGGTTCTGAGGCAGAAATTGTGTGAGTTTCTTCAAGAGCAGGGCAAAAAGACTAGGTGTGTTGTTTTTAGTCAGTAAGTTGTGATTCCTTCTATTTGTCAGAGAAAAAAATACGGCAGCATTCTCGCTTTTTGAATGCAAGTGAAATCATTCTGTCCCATTGTCTCCATTTGGCTTCTTGATAAAAATCAATAATAATACATCAAGCCAAACTTAATTATCTTCCACACTGTGTTAAACGGTTAAAAAGGAATTCTTAAAGGTTAAAAAGGAAATCAGTACCGTGAACTCAGGCCTTTCCACCAGTGCGGACTGTGATGGGGGAAACAGAATTCTCCACAGTGGGGTCCTCACTGTGGCTGAGAACCCCAGAAGATGAACCCCCTGGTACCGTCACACCTCAGGACTTTTCTGACATTTTAAAGACTTTCCCACATGACAGTTGCCCACACAGACGGTTTGGGGCCCTGCATTTGAAGTGAAGACACTGGTACATTACACGCCTCTTGGCAGAGGGTGGTCCCATTGAAGCCTGAGGCGACTCTTAGGAATGGCACTCACTGTCTCCTCTGAAGCCCCCTATGGGGTCAGGGGGACAGGTCCACAGTTCAGCTTCATGAATGAATGAGAAAGGTTTGGTCTGCATATCTGTCTTCTCACTCTGGTTGTCCAGTGTTTTCTGCCAGATTCTGATTTATAAAATCTATTTCTGTTTTCCTGTTTTATTGTATATATTTTTTCTACTTCCAACCTGTTCTGAAATCAAATGAATGGCTACTAAGGTAACCAGTTGTTGTCACGGTTATTTTAATTATTTAGTAGTCGGTTGGGGAAAATTACATCGCAGCATCGAACTGTCCCATTGTCTCCATTTGGCTTCTTGATAAAAATCAATAATAATACATCAAGCCAAACTTAATTATCTTCCACACTGTGTTAAACGGTTAAAAAGGAATTCTTAAAGGTTAAAAAGGAAATCAGTACCGTGAACTCAGGCCTTTCCACCAGTGCGGACTGTGATGGGGGAAACAGAATTCTCCACAGTGGGGTCCTCACTGTGGCTGAGAACCCCAGAAGATGAACCCCCTGGTACCGTCACACCTCAGGACTTTTCTGACATTTTAAAGACTTTCCCACATGACAGTTGCCCACACAGACGGTTTGGGGCCCTGCATTTGAAGTGAAGACACTGGTACATTACACGCCTCTTGGCAGAGGGTGGTCCCATTGAAGCCTGAGGCGACTCTTAGGAATGGCACTCACTGTCTCCTCTGAAGCCCCCTATGGGGTCAGGGGGACAGGTCCACAGTTCAGCTTCATGAACGAATGAGAAAGGTTTGGTCTGCATATCTGTCTTCTCACTCTGGTTGTCCAGTGTTTTCTGCCAGATTCTGATTTATAAAATCTATTTCTGTTTTCCTGTTTTATTGTATATATTTTTTCTACTTCCAACCTGTTCTGAAATCAAATGAATGGCTACTAAGGTAACCAGTTGTTGTCACGGTTATTTTAATTATTTAGTAGTCGGTTGGGGAAAATTACATCGCAGCATCGAACTGTCCCATTGTCTCCATTTGGCTTCTTGATAAAAATCAATAATAATACATCAAGCCAAACTTAATTATCTTCCACACTGTGTTAAACGGTTAAAAAGGAATTCTTAAAAAGCAGGGGATATTTTGAAACCGTTTCCACTCCCCAAGTGCATATATGGTCATGCACCAATTAATTAGCCCATCTTAAATACCTATGATGTGAAGTCAGAGACTGTCTGAGTTTTAATTCACTTTGTCCCAGAGAAATCGTGAAGAGATGGGTCAACTGCTTTATGCTTTCTATTAGCTATTCTGAATCAAATTGTCTGTTCTTCTCCCATTTCTAATGTGTTTTACTAAAATGAACGGTTCTCCAAAAAAAGATAATTTCAATAATTCCTATTGATGCTACCCATTAATAAGTGGATTTATTCCAATAACACTATTATTTTCTAGTTTTAAGTTGAAAATCAATGAGGAAAATCATGGCTTGAAAACCCCAAAAAATACATATAACAGAATATTCATTTTATTGTATGTATGTATGTTAGTGTAAAACTGTCTTTTTAAAGAAAAGTGTTTCAATTTGTTCTAGATTTTGGACACACCATATTTACTAAATGAGAATTGGAAATACTATCTCTCTGGCGTGGTGTTTAACAATCCGGATATTAATCTCACTTTTGAACAAGTTTACAGGTATAAATAACTGCATTGTATATTTTTTGCTACTTAAAATATTGTTTTCCCAGAATGAGAATTTTGGTTTCAAAGTGTCTGTAACCTTTATGATATAACTTCCCAGTTTCAGAATTAAGCTGTTCTCAGAATTAAGCTGTTCTCTAGTCTCAGCAAAGAGCTGGTAGAAATTAGACCAGAAAGATAACCCTTTAAAATCTTCTAGACCTTGGGGTGGTGATGTTTCAAAGTCCTTCTGTCCAGTGATCACTAGGACTCACTGGTCACTGTGACCCTAAGGTGCATTAATGGGACCCTCTGAAAACCCTTGTCCAGGAATCTCCCTTCTCCAAGTAAATGCCATAAAACAAGAATTTTTGGATGGGTATAAATCACACTCATGATAACAGATTCAGCTAAAGGGCCAGCAATGTAGTCAGGCTGCCTGGGCCCCACTCCTGGCTCTACCACCAGGGGCCTGGTGATCTTGGGCAATTCCCCTTCCTCTCTGTTCAATAGGTATAATGATAATAATAATCTAACCTAAATTTCAACAGCTTCCCATCACCTCTAGCAGACAGTGAATGAGTGGCACATGTGTGCATCCCTTGCACCTCATTCTCATGGCAGACTGTAATCAGTTCTGGTCTGCTTAGCCCAGAGATTCTCAGGATCCTTCTCCACAGCATGTTCCAGGCAGACGTTATCAGTCCCCTGGAGTTTCTTTGCCCAATTAAACCATCCCTAGGCCCAGAGGACAAGGCCATGCTTCTGGGCCTGGCCTGCCAGGTCTTTATGATTCTGGCTCCTGCAGAACTCTGCAGTCTCACATCTGATTGTTAGCATATCCAGCTCTCTGTTCCTGCAACACTAACCTACTTGGGTTCCCTGGAGAGAACCGTCATACCTCCTAGGGATGGTGGGAAAGTTGCTTTTTCCAGTCAGTCCTCAGGGCTGGAGGGCTCTGGCTGCTGGACAGAGATGTCCAGGAAGTGGTTGCCTTGGTAGCAGCTGACCCTTCTTAGCTCAGCTAAGGAAGCTTTTTTTGCATTTTAGAGAAGCAGAGAGAGGTGAGTCCAAGTTAGGTTTATAGCCAAAGTGTACTGGCCATCTGGATGTTTGTAGCCCCTCTGTCTCCATCCAGCCATTAGAATTTATGTTCAACTATATGTTTAGTATGTGAATCTCATTCCTGGAAATCGCAGAGAGATGGGCTGGCAGGGGCTTGATAGAATCTTTCAATGAAGCCCATGATAGACTTTGTAACACACCTCTTTCTAGCAAGTGTTGTTTTGTTTTGTTCTGTTTTTAGTGAGAATTTATTTCTTCTGAATTTGTGAACTTATTAGCCTTCACAGCCCTGGAAAGGACACAAAGGAGACAGATAGAAGGATGTATTTACCAATCCTATTGTATCTATTCCCCAAATGGGACATTTAGTACAGTGCGGAATGAGGTCAGGAATGGTGGGCACCTGGGGATTCGTGCAGCTGCTGATGACTGCCTACTGCATGGACACCCAGATGCCACTTCTGTCTTCACAGATTAAGCAGGGAACAACTCACCCTCCTGTCCATCCTTAACAGTGGACAGAGGTAGCCACAGCTGCTGTTCTGGGCCATGATTTCTCTGTTTATTCCCATAGTGACTGCAAAGAAAATAAAGGTATTTATGCGACACTTAAGCTGGAGAACAGCTACAACATCAGTGAACATCTCAACATTCAAGAGGTAAGAGATTAGAACCAACCATGAAATTGACATACTTCTTTACTAAATCCAGTCTTCTTTCATTTTTTTTTTATTAAGGTGAAATTCACATAGGCTGAAAGCAAACCACTTAAAAATGACATTTCTGTACCTTCACAAGGTTGTCCAGCCCTAACCTCTAATTCCAAAACATTTTATGATTAACATTTGTCACTTCCAACCAGTGTCTTTCTCGAGGCGAGTTTCTCTAGTAAGTAGTGCTCCTGCAGAACTCTGCAGTCTCACATCTGATTGTTAGCATATCCAGCTCTCTGTTCCTGCAACACTAACCTACTTGGGTTCCCTGGAGAGAACCGTCATACCTCCTAGGGATGGTGGGAAAGTTGCTTTTTCCAGTCAGTCCTCAGGGCTGGAGGGCTCTGGCTGCTGGACAGAGATGTCCAGGAAGTGGTTGCCTTGGTAGCAGCTGACCCTTCTTAGCTCAGCTAAGGAAGCTTTTTTTGCATTTTAGAGAAGCAGAGAGAGGTGAGTCCAAGTTAGGTTTATAGCCAAAGTGTACTGGCCATCTGGATGTTTGTAGCCCCTCTGTCTCCATCCAGCCATTAGAATTTATGTTCAACTATATGTTTAGTATGTGAATCTCATTCCTGGAAATCGCAGAGAGATGGGCTGGCAGGGGCTTGATAGAATCTTTCAATGAAGCCCATGATAGACTTTGTAACACACCTCTTTCTAGCAAGTGTTGTTTTGTTTTGTTCTGTTTTTAGTGAGAATTTATTTCTTCTGAATTTGTGAACTTATTAGCCTTCACAGCCCTGGAAAGGACACAAAGGAGACAGATAGAAGGATGTATTTACCAATCCTATTGTATCTATTCCCCAAATGGGACATTTAGTACAGTGCGGAATGAGGTCAGGAATGGTGGGCACCTGGGGATTCGTGCAGCTGCTGATGACTGCCTACTGCATGGACACCCAGATGCCACTTCTGTCTTCACAGATTAAGCAGGGAACAACTCACCCTCCTGTCCATCCTTAACAGTGGACAGAGGTAGCCACAGCTGCTGTTCTGGGCCATGATTTCTCTGTTTATTCCCATAGTGACTGCAAAGAAAATAAAGGTATTTATGCGACACTTAAGCTGGAGAACAGCTACAACATCAGTGAACATCTCAACATTCAAGAGGTAAGAGATTAGAACCAACCATGAAATTGACATACTTCTTTACTAAATCCAGTCTTCTTTCATTTTTTTTTATTAAGGTGAAATTCACATAGGCTGAAAGCAAACCACTTAAAAATGACATTTCTGTACCTTCACAAGGTTGTCCAGCCCTAACCTCTAATTCCAAAACATTTTATGATTAACATTTGTCACTTCCAACCAGTGTCTTTCTCGAGGCGAGTTTCTCTAGTAAGTAGACCATGCAAGATCCTCTAAAGGGGGCCTCACCACAGACACTTCACGGGGAAAGAGTCTATCTTGCTGAGTGACCATGTTCCTAGAGGGACAAACCCCACTTCTTTCCCAGGGATATTGTCCCTCCAAGACCAGGCACCTTTTTCCGCCAGCTCCCTGGAGAGGGAATGAGGCACCGAGAGCTTTGCCCCACACTCCTGAACGTGACCGTGGCCCCAGGATGCCAGCTGGGCTCTGGTGAGCTCTGCTGGCCCTCGGCAAGAGGTAACATGGCAATGGTGATAGGTGCTGGCACAGTGGGATGACCTCCTCACCTCCTTGGCTCAAGCCCACACCCGAGTCCCGAGTCTGAAGACTCTGAGAAGAGGCCCCTCCAGAGCACACTGGCCACAAGATGGGGCAAGAGAGCTTCAGCTGCCCAGGCCTGTGGTGTCATTATCCTCGGCTGTCTCCGCTCCCCATAGCTGGGGGCCTCTGGTCTTCTCAGCTGTGTAGGAAAGAAGCTAAGGAGCCTTCTTTGTTCTGAGCGTCCAAAATGGAAGCGGATACCCAGGGGTACCAAGGGAAGAGCTTGTTCCCCAAACCCCACAGCTTGTCCACTGAGGCACTGTAGATGGCTTCCAGAGGTACATGAGGCCATGATGGCTTAACGGTTTTCAAATGTGGAGAGGTACAGTTTTCAAAGCTGTGTATCAATTTTGTATTCGTTATCTTTCCTAAATATTCCTTGCATGTATTCACAAATGGAATACAGTTTTGTAACCAAGTCATAAACAGAACCCCCGATACATTTGCCTGTCATGCCATGCGTGATTTTCTTTGTGCACCAGAGACAGGGTGCTCAGGACGCTTGGGCACCGCATGCCGCCTGAAAGTGCTGGCTGGCTCAGGACCATTGTTGGCCATGTCCCCATGACTGCAAATCTCCCTGCTCCCTGAGCCCAGCACGTGCTGCCTCCTGCCCCTGGGACACAGCGGGACTCACTCGGAAGCTACCTGCCCTCTGGTGCCCTGCCGAATGCCCTGCCTGGGAAGGCTCTCCGTTGCCCCTCTGTCCTGGTGCAGCTTTGCTATGCCACTGCCTCTTCCCTTTGAGGTCTTTGAGGGTGGAGATGCAGTATTATTCTGCTTTGCCTCCTATTTCCTCACATAGCTCTCGGCACGGGGCATAAGGAAGGGGGCGGGAAGGGGCAGGAAGGGGTGGGAGGGGAGCAAAGAGAACCAGGAAGAAATGCCAGTCGGATGCATGTGTATTTTTTTAAATTTTTGTCCTGTGTTATTTTATTGCTCTCTTAAAGTATTAAGTATGTGACATTCTTGGAGAAGAATGGGCTTATTCACAACCTTTATTTTTATCACACAGCATACCGGAAACATAAGCAGTAACTTTGAAAATATGACCATAAATATTGGCGATATCACTCTGCTAGATGAAGCAGGAAAGGGAAGCCTTAGGAATTTCAGTTCTTCGGGAATAGACAGAATAGACTATAACGCCTTCTTGGCTGAGGTAGGCTCCTGTGTTCATGCTTGATCTTTTGGGGAAAATAAGAGCATTGGATATGTGTGTGTCTCAGTTTTTATTTTTGCTTTTTAAAATTGAGATGGGGTTTACCTGACATAAAATTAACTATTTTAGAGTGAGCAGTTTACTAGCATTCAGTATATTCACAGTGTTGCACAGCTACCCTCTCTATGTAGTTCCAAAACACAATTACTCCCAAAAAAGCCCTGTTTCCGTTCAGCAGTTGCTCCCAGTCCCCACACCCGGCCCCTGGCAACACTAATCTGTGCTCTGTTTCTACCTATTCTGGGTATGACACATGAACAGAATCATAGAGTATGTGACCTTTCGTGTCTGATGGCCTTAGCTGGTCCCTTCCATGTAACCTAAAGTGTTTGAGATTCATCTACCTTCTAACATGTATCAGCACTTGTTGTCTTTTTGTGGTTGAATATAGTTGAATAAAAATGATACAATTTAATATGTATAAATAAGAATGCAGATGTTGTCCCCTACGTAGGAGTTTCCAGCCTTACTTGATGGCTAAGGACCCATGTTGCCAATTAGGTGTTATTAAGGTTTAAAAATCCCATATCCATAATGTCATTTTTTTTTTAACTCTTATAGACGGGCAAAACTCCCACCAAAGTGAATCTTTTATCATTTGCAGATGATCTAGAAGCAAAAGCCAACCATTTGGTGAGTTCAAACACCAAGTCTGATTAAATGCTGTAATTGGCATAGAGGTCAAAGGTCAATACTACTATTAGGTAGCTATTGAAGAGGTTCCTTACACCACATGTAACCCCTTGTTTAAAACACCTCTCTTCTGCATGGTAAAAGTCCCCATCAGCAGCCATGCCATTGGACTTGAAAGTCTGAGCATGTGAATGGCTCCAGGGTGGCTCTGAGTGCATGCAGCTGCTCGGACCGCGCTCGTGGTGCACCCGGTCCGCCCTCACCCCTGTCAGCCCTCCACCCAGACACGCACCCTGCGTTCCCCTGCAGCCTAGGGAGTGGTGACTGAGGACGTGGGAGGCAACTCCATTTGCTGCTTTGCATCTCCGGTAACAAATGGATGCAGGAAGACAAAGACACTCCCCTTGGTTGGCGGGTGGTGACTGGACGGCTCTAAGTGGCCTCTTTCAAGAAGCAGCGGAGCCTGGGGATAAGGAACCTGAATTTAAATCCTGGCTTAAAGAAAGACCAGGTTCTAAATCCTGCCCCAGTCACTTCCTAACTGTGGGGCCTTGGGCAAAATATTTCACCCCCTGTGCCTTCATTTACTCATCTGTGACACTGTTTAGATGTGGGTTAATAAAAATTCCTCAGTTGAGCCTTGGTTTTTCTCATCTGTGAAACGGGGATATGGCTACTTAAAGTGGCTTTACCGTGGCTATATGAAGGTGAGGGGAGAGAGAAACCAGGCTCAGGTACTCAGGGAGGGCTAACGAGTGTGCGTGGCTGCTGAGGTCATGGTTCTATGCTCTGAGGTTGGGGTCATGGTGCTGCCTTTCCTGGCTGACCCCCATGCCCGCAGCTGCCTCGTACAAGGGGGGCTGTGTGCTTATGTCATGGGTGTCCTGTCTGGAGCTCCTGTGCTTAGACAGAGTGCTCCCCAGTCAGGAAAGAGGGTGTTCATCTTCGTTTATTGTATTCTCTTTGTAGCCCGCGGGAAATTTGCAAGAGTCCCTGAAAAGAAACGCACAAACTGTTCGAATGATTCACCATGGCCAAGTCATTCCTTTGGAACAATCAATGGTAAACGATCGTCAGCCTCCGGTGTTTCACTGTGACTGAGCAAAATCCAGTGCACCTAGTGGGCTTCCATCTTAACAAATGATACATTTGTGTCTCACTGCATCAAATCTCATTGGCCTCAGGCTAAGAAATTGAGCTATTTTTAAAATAAATGATAGTAACGGGCTTTAAAGAAGACAAATTTTCCATTTCACCCCCTTCTTTGCTGCTATGGCCTGGCCTTCTTCCGTGTGAGTGTGAGCAGGTAGATTACACCCATGGTTGCCCACACCCTGCTCTAGTGTCCACACCTTTACCAGCCCCCCTAAACCATGCACTTAGCTGAAGGGCTGATGTTTGTGTTCTGAACTCACTCTTACTTATTCTCAAACTCTTTTTCTCCAAACCCTGCAAAGAAATACGTGCAAGCAAGGGTAAGTCCTTTTCTTTCTGCCTCCACTGAGCTCTGTTTACTGGCCTAATGGGTGCTGTCTCCTTTCTCCTCTCGTCCAGCCTGTTCCTGACCTTCCTTTCCTTTTTCTTCTCACCACCTCTCTTCTTTCCTTAATGCCAGAAAGACAGATTGTAGCCAAGAAAGACCATGGGCTCTGGGCTCGGGCAGAGGATATCGAATCCTGCTTCCCCCTCTCCAGAGTCTTGTAGCTTTCGGTTTCCTCATCTAAAAAGGGTGGGAACAGGTCCTGCCCCGCTGATTCTTGGAGATGAAGGATCTGATGCCGCAGAGGGACCTGTAAATAGGGGAATTATTAATATGCTCATGTAGGGTCATGATTACAGTTGTCAAGGGGAAGACTGTGTGGAAACCTGGTCACAGAGTGAGTTTGCTCAGGTTTAGAGAAGCATATTAGTCTACTTGACTCAACCTCAGAACCTTCCAGAACTACTTTTTACCATCTGTCTCTTTTTGGCCTCTTGACTTTCTAATTCATTAGCATATACCCAAAGTCCTCTTATTGAATTCTCTTAATTTGTGTGCATCACAGTTCTCTGCTATACTTGTTTATTCCCAGCACACAAATCTGCTAACATTTTAAGCTACTTTGACATGTTCCGTAAAGGCTTTCCCTCAAGCAGACACAAGATTCCCTGGCCTTTTCAGAGCTGGGGCAAACAACCTGTCTACAAACAGGCAAGTTTTTCTGTATGTATGACCTGTAATCTAGACCAGGGGTTAGCAAACTACAGCTCTGAAAACTGCAGTCTGTGGGCTAAATCCAGCCTGCTGCCTGTTTTTATACAGGAAGTATTGCTGGAACACAGCCATGCCCACTTATTTACAAATGATCTGTGGCTGCTTTTGGCTACAAAGTCAGGGTTGAGTGATTTAGACAAAGTATGGCCCACAAAGCCTGAAATATTGACTATCTTACCTTAACTAGTCAAGTTTGCCAATCCCTAATCCAAATCACACAGATTAAACCACTCTTGTTGGTCAGGTTTTATTTTAAATACACTGGCTTTGAGCAAACCTTATTCGAAGGGGCTTCTCGGATACCTTGCTTGCGGTGCAGCTGCCCTGCAGAGCTCTAAAATACGTATCCTGATTTTCTTCTGGCTTTTCTCACACCAGAGATATGGGAGGTACACATTGTTACTTGTGTCTGTTGTTTTTTCTAGAATGAAACCATTACAGAGTAAAGGACTTGATGGCTGAGTGCAGGGAGGGAGGGGGACAAAAGGCATGTGACCTTGTCTGCTTCGTGCAGTTAACTGGAAAACGGTATCTTTGTTCACCAGAGAACTGTACACCAGAGCATCAAGGAACTTCAAAGCAAAAGCAGTGGATTAGGGGTAAGGATTTACTTTCTTTTTCTCTCATGGGGTCTTGTCACAAAAGTACATGCAGACTTTCATAGCTGTTGGGCTTTACAGGTATGTCAAGTAAAAAAAAAAGTCTGTTATTCTATTTTATATGTTAAACTGGGTTTTTCTACCATTTCCTTTCTGCAAGTACTTCTTTCAATGTAGACCTCATCTTGGCTTGTGGTTAGGTGCTCCGAGGGAAGCTGTGTTTCGATGTGTAGGATGCAAGCAGGGAAGGTACAAGTCACTTTTACTGAGATAACACTGCCTGACATGCAGCCTCCCAATCTCAGCGCCTTCCAGCCACAGACTTTCCTTCTCACTGCTGGGCCCACTACTGGCCTCCCCACCCGTCTTCCCACCTGGAGACCCAGCCTGAAGGAGCAGCTCCTGCCTGGGCCACCTCATGCCCTCACAGTGGGGGAAGTCAGAGGCTGAATGGAGACTCAGGTGGCCCTTTAAGTCACCGCTTAGAAGTGGCTCACTGCCAAGCCGCTCATCATGGGATGGGAAAGTCTTCCCCACCCCTGGGAAGGTATTAATTAATAATCGTGAGCAGCTAATATGGTCACCCGCAGGGGCTCCCTTGGGCCACAGATATTCCCACAACAGAAACTGAGCTCCAGGGCTATGATGTGTTCATCCTGTACCCACAGTGCCAGCAGGCAGCTCAGAAAATACTTCCCTGGTCAGTGGAATAGGCTGCCCAGGAGAGATTTCAGGTGTCAGCCCTGCAACAGAAAATGACGAGTTCCTCCCTGTGCTTTTCTCAGAGCCCCTTTGCTTGCCTTTGTCCCAGACATTCTTCCCACACGGACCAAGAGCTCCTTAAGTTGTAGTCAGTACACTCCCTGGGCAGCGCTGAGCCTGCGGCTTGGTTGGTGCACCAAGATGCCAGCTCATTCCCTCTGAAGACTGTTGTTGCATGAGGTTCACTCTGCTCTGAGATCTTCCCTGTGCCAACAATCACGTTGCCATTTTCCAAGTGTGTGTCCCATACCGAGGGAGCCTGGAGATGGGCTGGTGATTGCTCACGGGTCCTCTGCTACCCTCTGCCCTTGACATTCAGGGCAAAGGCGTGCAGCTACATGTCGCCCTTCATGAGGGGCCAGCCACAGGGGCAAGTGGGGGTGGAAAGCAGCCCATGACCCACTGGCCAGGCTGTGTGCCCTGAGGTGGCTGGGCAGAAAGACACCTTTTCTAATTTGCACCACGCTGCTGTGTGGGTCAGCAGGTGCCATGTCCTTATCTGTGTGACAGTGCAGAGTGTGGACTTTAGCATGAAGAAAACTAGGTGCACATCCCAGGTCTTGTGCTTCCCAGCTTTGTGACCTTGAGCAGGGTCAGCTGCCTCCTCGGTGAAGGGGGTCTAACAATTCCTTCCTCTGGGCCTTGTGAGTATTCAGTCAGGTGATTCGGATAGGGGACCGAGCCCAGTGTCTGCCACAGAGTAAGGGCTCGGCAGGCTCTCTCCTGCAGCCCCCAGCCTCAGAGGGCTTGGCTGTTCTGACCTCTTCCTAACTAGCTGGTTGTGGTGGTGCGGGGCTGAGGTAATGGGCCTCATGAGATCCACATCAGATTGTCTCGTTAAGTCCTTCTGCCACTTTTGTCACACGGATTGTTGCTGTTTTTTCCAGGTGAGAGTGGCCAATATCCTTTCATCCCTGGATTCTGCTCAGGACTTCCTCACAAACCATATTTCCTCTGTTATTGTTGAAGTAAGTTTTCTTTTTTAAAAAAACCACACCCAGTAAATGGGTGTGGGACCGTAAAGACATGACTGCATAGAGTATGGTATAGTTATTTTAATGGTTTCACTCTGCTCTGATGTCTTTCCAGGAAAGTAAGAAGTATGGGAAAACAATAATAGGATACTTTGAACATTATCTGCAGTGGGTCAAGATCTCTGTAAGTAGTTTATCTTTTATGAACATAGGGGGCCAAGTGTTAGGATAGTCATTTTCCAGGATAAAGTCGGGAGGAAACAAGATTAAATTCCTGGTAATTTGGCAGGAGATAAGTAAAAGGACTTTGCGTGTGGGACCATGAGTGGTGGTGCCATGAGACGTGGCACGGGTGGTGTCTGTGCTGCCCGGCTCCTCAGGCCTCCTGCAGGGTTGGAGAACGTGCCCCCTCTTTGCTCAGTGCTAATACTTCCCATGCTTGGCTGTTCCCCCGATGACCTACCTCCAAGTACCTGAAGTTAGCGCCCGTTTGCAGCCATGGTTTGTACCGGCCACGGGCAGCCCTCTGCCTGCTCTGTCGTTTGAAGATTTACGAGCAAGGAGGGGCTTAAAGAACAGAAATCTATTTTCTCACAGTTCTGGAGGCTGGAAGGCCAAGACCAAGATGTTTTCAGAAGGGTTGGTATCTTCTGAGGCCCCTTTTTGAAAAAAACCACCAGTGAAAAAGCCTATGAAGAGAACATATAGGGTTTTTGAGCTTGGGAAAATGTAACGTTGATGAAGAGAACATACAGGGTTTTTGAGTTTGGGAAAATGTAACGTTAAATGTAAAATGTAATGTAATGTTAGATGTAACATAGGTTGCCTTGCAAGGCATAGGTGGAAGAAAAGGGAAGGAAAGCCGGCCATTAAAGGAAAAAGAATAAGAGACATCCCACCCAAAGGAGCAAGCACCTAGCTTATTATACGTACTCAAAAGATTTTCTGAATGAATGTAGTTTTCTTGTTGGTGGGATTGGAGCATGCATTAAACTTGTTTATTCTCACCTCATTAATGAGTACATAGTTTTCTGTCTCCTAAAACGGGGTCCGCAAGTACAGCCGTTTTTGTGAATGACATTGTATCGGCACACAGCCGCACCCGTTTGTCTGTATATCATCTATGGCTGCTTTCACCGTACCAGGGCAGAGGCAGATGGTCGCCCCAGGTACATCTCAGTCTGCCCTTCAAAGTCTAAAATATTTACTCACTGTCCCCTTATAGGAAAAGTGTGCCAACCCCTGTTCTAAAAATATAGAATTATTAATCAGCTAACTTTTCACTGTTTTCCACATTCTTCGCCATAAAATGGCTAGGTAAGAAATTGAGACTGGGACACTGTGATGGACACATGTACTGTTCGATTCTCTCAGGAGCGCAGCAGGACGGGTCTTATTCTTCCAAATAAGAGATGTGGATACTGGAAACTGAGGTTCAGGGAGACTCAGGGTCCCTTTCAAGAGCATACTTTCACACATCACAGGACTCACCCACAGCAATCAGCTATCAGCTCCATAGCTTTGAGGGCACGGAGGTCCTTTTAGTGAAAACACACCAAAGGTAAATGGCATGTCTAACTTTTGTGCATTTCTGTGGGTGTGGCTCAAAGTCGGCCTGTGTTTCTTACCCCTGTAGATCACCGAGCACATTGCCGCCTGCAAACCCGTGGCCACCGCTTTAGATTCCGCTGTTGACGTCTTTCTGTGTCGCTACATTATCGACCCTACGGTAAGAATTTAACCTTTCAAAATAAGGAGACACAATAAACTCATCATCTTTGATTTTTTTTTTTCCAGATGGCAGTATACACTATGTGTAATATGAAATTGTTTTCTGCTTGGGTCTGTTACAGTTGTAGAACACAAGACCTAAAATCTAAAATGTAGGTGAATATGTTAAGGTACCTAATAGACTAGAAGCATCAAAGACCTGGCTGTATATCCTCGGTCCTTACTAGAAGTACACTGACCGAAGTCAGGAGACTCTCACAGAGAAAACTCCTATTTGTCTAGAATAATTGGAAAGGAAAGGTCCTTGGTGTGCACACTACTAATATTCAAAAGGATTCTTAGTGCAACTATATGTATTGCCAGATCATAAATATTATATTAATAAAATATGTAACCCTAAAGAGACAGCAAACTTAATTTTTTATTTAAAAATCCCTTTGAGATGTTACCATTAGGATGGTAAATTCCAACTAATCAGGTCATTCCTCAGCTCTGTTCACTCCATGATACACACTGTCGTTTTGAGCCAATCCTCTTACTTCCTCTGCTCAGAGCACCTCAGTGGCCTCCTGTCGCTCTCACAGTAAAGATCAGGATGCTTCATTAAATATATTGAGCCCTGCACAAGTGGGCCACATTTTGCACTATTTGATCGCCTTTCTTGCTGTATTCCAGACGCACTTTTCTTTCACTTCTTTAAGTACATCTCAATGTCCCCACCCTCAGGGCCTTTGCACATGCCATTTCCTCTGTCTGGTTGGGGAATGGACACATGCTCTTTCTCTTTCTTTTCATTCTTCCTCTCCGTACCCACACCCGACCTGGCTAAATCCTCTAGGTCTTGCAGTGTAACGGTTGAAAACACAGATTGCATTCAAATTCCACTTCTACATTCTCTGAACTCTGCAGCTTTGAAAAATTATTGAACCTTTCCAGCCTTCATCACTGAAGAGTTGTTTTGATGGTTCAACGAGAAATTACACCTAAAGCCCTTAACACCATTCCTGGTACATTAACACACTCAGTAAATGTTTGCTCTTGTCATTCGGTTTTCAGGTGTTAGTTCAAACATGCCTCTTTTTTCCCAGGAAGGCTTGTCTATTTTCCCAGCTAGACTGGGCTCTCTTTTCTACACTCTCATAGAGCTCTGTACTTTTCCTTTGGAGATATGATTGCTGTTTGAATTGCACATTTGTGTGGTTCTTTAAGATTTGGCCCCTTCAGCACACACTAGGCTCTGAACTCAAGGAGCACAGGGCTGTGCATTCACTGGCCCGTCCCATCATCTGGCCTGCTACCTGGCGAGGCAATTGAATGAAGGCTGGTCAGATAAGCATCTGTCACAGTGCATCTGTGTTGCTCCATCCATCCTTCTCCCTGTCCCACCACCACTGGATGGACTCATACCTGAATGGAGATGATCCTGCCACTTTCCCAGCCAGGCAGACCCCAAGCCTTGGCTTCCTGGCTGCATCCCTCCTCCTCCAGCTTCTTCCCCTGTTTGTCCTGCTGCTTGGAGCCCCTATGGATGTTTTTGGTGGGAACTCGCATTAGGGGAATCCTCCATTAGCTTGGTTGGTTCTGAATTCATCTCTGTGCATCCTGTCTTCACCAGCTGCCCCCAGCCAGTCAGATTACCCACCTACCGGATGTCTGTCCACAAATAATCAGAGACCAATGGACAGGAGGCCTGCAGGCTGCTCAGGAAGATTATAGGCTGGAGTGTTATAGTGGGTCGTGTGAACAGTAAGGAAGAGCTCTGGGCACAGACTTGACCTGGAAGATAGACTCCAGGCTGACTACCATGTTTCTTTGATACCTTGATTGTTCACAGAAGGATTGAGGCAGATTGCAGTAAAGGATATGGTTTTACAGCTGTAAAGTCTCACAAAGCAAGGCTGAGCAAAAGAATGTGCAGGGAAAGGAGAATAAATTTGCTGGAAGTTCTGAGCCAATAGGTAACACTGTTCAACACTTCCTGGGGTGGGGAGCAAGCAGAAACGCAGTGGCTTTGCTGTGAGGGTCTGGACAGTGGTTGTTACACCCAAGCTGCCGTGTGCCTCCCAGTGGGCTGGTGGGAGCTGCTCCAGTGTTACTAACAGCATTGGTCCTAAGTCAGGGGCTACAGGCTTGAACCTCTCAAGGGACGTAGCAGGTTGTAGATTTACAAAGCAGGCCAAGCATAAGAGAACAGCTCGTGTATGGCACCCACAGGGCCATGCTGATTGTGCGCATGGGTATGATGGTTGGTGGGCATGATTGAGTAGTGTGGGACCTCACCTCTGCAAGTTAGTGGTGTGGCAGGGGCACACCAAGGACAGATGCTCCTCTTGAGGAAGGACCCAGCACTCAGCGGCAGCTGAGGTTGCCTTGTGGAAATGAGGGCTCAGTGTTATGAACTGCAACTTCAAACTTTTCAAGAAAAGACCTGAGTCCAGCTTTCTAGAAGGAATATTATTTATGAATGTTGGCAACTATTTGTTGCCAACTACTACTTTAGTTTTGTTGCCAAAACTACTTTAACATTGCTTTCTAGACAAAACAGGGTGGAATTCAGCCTATGGCCTACCTTAAAGATTGATTAGATTAATATGGAGTGTTTGCTGAAAGCCTGTGGTGCCCTAGGATTATTTCTGTGTTCTTCACACAACAGTGTTATGGGATGAGAATGTCCTACTGTTCAGATACAGAAAAAAAAAAAACAAAAAACAGAAATGTGAATTGTCATGCTGACATCAAACAACTCATAAGAAGAATTTGAGCTTAGGCCTACTGGCCATCTATGCTTTTACTGAGGGCAGCAAAGGGCAGCCTTCTAGCAGGGTGGTTAGCAGTTGTTCCGGAATGTTCTAGATGCAAACCCTTGCTTCACTGCTTGCTGCTTCTATTCCTCATTTGTTAAATAAAAATAGGATCTGTTTAAGGTTTTTAGACTAATCTAATGGATTATAGTAATATGTAGCATTTCACACAGGAGCTGATTCAAATTAAGTCCACAAGTGATTTCAGTGAAGAAAACTAGAACTCAATGAAAAAATTGCAAAAAGTAATGATTTTCCCCAAGCAGCTGTTGCTTCCCATTTCCCATCTTCCAGCATTTAATCCTCCTGATTTTCTTTTTTTCCCTAGAATTTGTTTTGGTTTGGCATAGGAAAAGCTACCATATTTTTACTTCCAGCTATAATCTTTGCTGTAAAGCTGGCCAAGTATTATCGTCGGATGGATTCAGAGGATGTGTATGATGAGTAAGTGGGCAAGTTTCCACAGAGGTGGTGGGTGGGTGGGTGGGGGTCATTTTCTTATGTGATAGTGTCTGCGAGAGCTTGGTAAAGAGCTCTGATAAGATTACACTTTATTACTATTATTTTCTAAGTAGAAGGTCAAGTGTTTTCTCTGTGCTGATTTTCTTCTGCTTGTTCTCTGGCTTCATCTTTTCTGCCTCCCTGACCAGCCTTCTTGCTTCTCCTTTGCAGTTCCTCTGTCTCGGGGACTTGGCACTTCACTCTGTAGCTGTTTCCCCAGCGTCCAGTTCGGCTTCCCTGGTCGGCCCCTCACTCTGTATCTGGTGAACTTGTGTGCTTTGTTTTTACTTCTCTCATCTCCTTCTCAACATGGGTTTCTCCTGAATTTGCTCTGTCAGCATCCACAGTAGAGTAAAAATGAGGGGGTAGAGCTGTTAAACTGTCATAGTAATTAAAAAAAATAACTGTATCTCCCTTTCTTGTATTTTATAGTGGTGAACCTCTGCCCGTGAAAAAGTAAGTCTTTTCTTTTGGATGAGATTGTGGGATCTTTATTATTATACTGTAGACTTTTTAAACCAAATTAGTAATACCTTTAAGTTACATAACAAGAACAGATAGGCCCAGATATAAACAAATGCTGATGTCTCTTAAGATAGAGGGTGCTGAAAGAAATACTTGGTGCATTGATGAAAATTTTATTTGCTAAATTTATTAATATATGCAATGGTTGTTTTGAAATTTAGTTTGTAAGGAGAACAAAATGTAAATGCACCTTTTTACCTTCTTCGTAGATTGAACAAATTGCCAAATACTTGTCATGGCCATTACGTTGTCTTTGTAGTCCATGATGTAAATACCTTAGAGCTAACGTGTTTCTGGTATACTTACTTTTGTTACAGTCTGGAAAATGGTTATATCGGGTTGCATAGACATCGTCCCACTCACATTGTATGAGCAAAGTTTTTAAACAGACCCAACTACACAAGTTCTTGATCTGCAGCGTCTCCAACTGTTGGAAAAGAAACCTTCCCTTCAGGAGTTTGCAGAGTTCAGTGATGTCATGTGAAATGTGTACTTCGGAGCCCAACAGTGAAAAGCCTGCATACCTTTTTTAATCTTTCGAAGTTTTGCTTTAATCGTCTGAGCCTTCTATGAAAGGTTAAATATGCAACACATTCATTAATTTCCAACTTAGCTTTCGGAGCAAGACAGGAATTTTGTCACATTTCATTGCTTGAGGACTTAGGCTTGTAGTTAGAGAAAGTCCAGTAGATAACAGATGTGTGTGTGTGAATAATAAAGGAATTATTTCAGAAATATGACTAATCTTCTTCTTTAAAACTGTACCCATACTATAGAGAACAATTGAGTTCCCATATTATTTTCTTAGGGCTGCTGAGACAAATTACATAAACCAGGGGCCTTAAACAACAGGAATGTATTCTCTCTTAGTTCTGGAGGCTGGAAAGCTGAAGCCCACATGTCAGCAGAGTTGGAGCGTCAGCTCCTTGCGTCTCTCGGAGGCTCTGCTGGTTACGGCAATCTGTGGCGTTCACTGGCTCGGAGACACATCACTCCAATCTCTGCCTGTGTCTTCACATGGAATTTTTATTTGTGTGTCTCTGTCAAAATTTTGCCCTCATAAGAAGTCACTGGATCAGGGACATCCTAATCAAGAATGACCCTATCTCTATTTCATCACATCTTCAAATAACCTCTTTCCAAACAGGTTGTAGGTGGGCATGCATTGAGGAGAGACATAATTCAAGCTGATGTACTTGTTCATTGGCAATAGCAAATAGCCAGAAAGACAGAGAAGTAGATACGAAAGAGAGTACCAGTATATACACAGAAACTAAATTGCCAAAATCAGAAAGGACAGAGAATAAAAAATTATTTTAGGCATACACAAAACAGTGAGCCACTCGTCTTAGTTTTCTGTTTGTCTTAATCTAAGAACACATTAGGAACCCACCCCTTAAATTATCTCTCATCTAACCCAGTGATGCCCAGCCTGTTAACATGTAGTTTCACCTGGGAGAACTTTTTAAAAACATTGATGCTTGGGTCCCTCCCCCAGAGATCTGAGAGAGATGGTTAGGGATGTGACCTGAGCAGTAGATTTCTAAGGTATAGTCAAGGTTAAGAAACACTGCCCTAGATTCATTAAGTCAGAATGTCTGGAGTGTATCCCAGCAGTAGCATTTTTATTTAATTCCCAGGCAATTCTCATGTGCAATCTAAATTGAGAATTACTAATAGAGCTTCCCCATGTGTTTCATCCAATTAATATACATTTCTGTGTCATCTGCTGTGGCCCAAACACTGTGCAAGACACTGGATGAGGGGTGGGCGGGTGGCCGCAGGGGTCAGGTCATGAGCTAACAGACTAGGTTCAACCTCCTAGGAGCTCTGTGCCAGTGGTGGAAACAAGAGGATACATTCAATGAGAGTGTATGAGCCACAGAAGGCTATGGGCTGGTGGGAGTCAGTGAAGGTTTGCTGCCACCGAATTTCTAAAAAACATCTGCATCAGGCATCTACTATCAAATCTGTTTCTTATAAGAGCTCTCCTCTGCCTTTCACTTGTCCCCTCATATAATCCTCACCACATCCCTGTGAGGTCAGCAGTCTTATCCTAAGTATAAACTAAATGGCCTGAAGCTTAGAGGGGTGAGTTGTCCAACATACTGCTCGTAAGTGTTCCGGCCAGAGTCGGGTCCAGGTCCCCCGATTGCACAGATCCTGGCCCCCAGGGTGGGCACATCACAGGCCAGGGTGGGTTTGGCAAGGACCATTTCCTAACAGCCTAGAACCACGTCACTGCAGGGAATTTTTTATGGTCAGAGGAATGTAATCAGTGATGAAATGGTACATAAATCAACATGACTCGAAGTGTGACCTGGGGACCAGGATCTCCGGGGACCTTTAGAGGGGCTGATTCTCAGGACTCCACTCAAGACAAACCGAATCCGAGTTTCTGAGGGCAAGGCCCAGGAATGTGTATTTAACAGGCTTTCCAGATGAGTCCAAAGCATAGTAAAGCTGGCCAAGTAATATTTCAAGTCACTCTAAAGGGAAAGGTCCTGATTCATTTAGGAAATAGCTCTTGCACTGAAAATATCACTAAAGCCCATGACAAATGACAGATTATTGACAGAGCAGCCTGTCCCTCTAACTGCTTCAGGGGAAAAGTGGGAAGGTGGAGCCCATCCTGAGAGTGTGGCCACGGGAGGTTCCAGGCTAACCTCCAGCCCCAAAGCCCTCTGTCAGCCTGAAATGCCTCTCCACTCCCACCTCCGTGTAGGGGCCCCTGCACCCTGCGAGCCCTTGAACCACTGCTACCATTGCTTGGTAAGATCAGTGAGTCCCGCCACCTCTCTGTCCTCTTCTAAGTGAGCATTTGCTGCATTGCTTTTCCCCCCGACAAGATCGCAAACACTGTTTAAGATCCTTTGGTTCCCTGTGGTCCTTTAGAGGTAGAATGGGCAGATGTTGGACTCAGAAGACCTTGGTGCAAATGTGGCTCTCCGATGGGAGCAATGCAAACTCCCTTAGCCTCATTCCTTCTCTGTAAAATGGGGATGGGGTTGCACCTACCTCATGGGGTGGATGCGATGCTCAGCATGATGCTGCGCACTGACTGGGCTCAGTAAAGGGGAGCCCATGTCACCTGCCCACAGGAGGCCTCCAATAAATAGTACATCAAGTTTCTCTGTGAGGCAGTGGAGTCTTACAAGGACTTCAAGCAAAGGCTAGTCACCTCTCTATGCCCTGCCAAGAGCAAGAACACCCATTTACTTCCAAAAGGAAAGGGAATGGCAGAGTAGCAAACTTAAAGGCCTTGCACTGGCCACGTCTGTCTGATGTCTGGAACTCTGGAGTGTGTTGAAGGCTTGGAAATTCCAGGGAAAGACTTGGATAGCACATTGGTTGATTTCAGTCAATTTCAACTCTTAGCTCTGCAACCACCACTCACCCCCTAGCCTGATGGCAGGCAGCTGTGCATGAGTTTAGATTTTGAAGGCCGAGATGGACAATAAGGCCCTTCAGATATCAAGAGATTTGCGTTCTAATGAAGGACTGCTCTTCTTACAGAGATGCGACACCGAGGGGGCAGTCACTGTCACGCTCCCTCTGAGGAGCAGATGCGTCAAGACCACACTGTGTGCCCACATGGCTAGTCCACAGTTCTGGTCACACAATCTACCCAGGAATATTTTCTAGTCGGGTCTTTCAAAGTCCTCCACCACTTGACGATGCCACAGTCAAGAATGAAAGGAACCTAGATGGTCCGCTGAATGCCGTGTTCATTAGCCCACTGTCAGGACCCCTTTCTATGAACGGTGTGGCATCATATGACTGTTAAGTGATCCAACAATCCAAAAATATGGCAGAGCTTGACCTCAAATGTTCCGCTGTGTCCAGAATATGCCCTTTGCACAGAACAGCAATTCAAGTAATGGGGTTGTGTCAGAAGCCAAGAGATCCCGGAAGTAGCCACAGGATGGCAGCAGATGACACATGCCGTCTACTAGCCAGAAAGAGGCAAGACACCCTTAGAGGGAGCGTAAGGGTCCTTGATGACTTTAGAAAGACAGAACACGCCCGCAGCGCCACAGTCCTGAGAAGCCAGCTCAGTCTCCTCGGCACGCGGATGGAGGCTCGTCCTTAGAGCCCGCTGAGTTTGTGACAGTATAACTTCGCCCCGTCCAACCTGGCAGGCCCAACTGGCCACATGGTTCTGTTTAGTCTCATCTGGGTGCACCTTCCCATGGGCATCCACCTGGGGTACAAAAAGTCTCGTCAGGCTGCAGTAGTGGCTTTTTCGCAGCACTTAGCTCTGCAGAGGGGTGTCTTTTATATGCCTGCATTGTCAAACACTGGCTGGGTTGTAAGCCAGGGCCCCAAAACAGGTGACAAAAGGCTAGCCTGCTTCTTAGGAGTTTTGTCTAAGGCAAGGGCGATGGCTTTCAGTTCTGCCCGCTAGCCGGCAGGCCTCTACAGCAGGAGGCTTTCTGGAGCCGCCATAGGCCCACAGGGGCCCCTGTACACTCCATCGGCCGCAGCTGGGAGGAGCCTCCAGTAAACCGGAGCCAGCAGCCTCAGGGCCTCCTGGGGGCCATCTCCTGGCAGGGAGATACAAAGGACCCCTAAAGACGTATCCCCTGGCCCTTATGTGAAGAACACCCATCTGCAGGACTAGACCTGCTGTTCTAGGCTGTTCTGCTTTCATTTCTCCTGGGAAATCTGTTTGCCTAGCCAACTCTGTCTTTAGCATCTGAGGGGACAAACACAGGATGTGGTACTGGATGCATGACACCCGGCCATCCTCTGAGGCACGCGGTTCCCACAAGCGCCCGAGACCAGGCCAGCAGCTGGCACCCCAAGGGGTGACTGTGCAGAGCCTGCTCCCCTTCCCTGGAGGCTCCACTCAGCATACTTCCTGAATAAGGCAGCCAGATTCCACCAGGGGCTTCACAGGGCCCCAGAGCAGGCAGCCTGTGGGACCCCCTCTACCCCACCTGCTACCCGGGTCCCTAGGGGAAAGTGGCTGGTTTTCTGGTCAGTTTCTACACAGGGCTGAGCAGAATACCTGAATGGGCCACATATTGTCCCCTACGCCCAAACAGTCCACCTCAGCCTGGGCTTCCTGCTTTGGTCACGAGGCCTGTAGGGGAGCGACTTTCCCGTTACTCTCCCAGGAATCAGGCCTTGAGCCGCAGTCCACAGACTCCCCAGGACTGACTTGGAGGGCTGGTCCTCGATCTCCTCAGGACTAACAAGTCAGGGTCGGCCTCTGCGGGTGCCACCTGCTCCCCACTGGAGCCAGTCAGCATGAGCTCGTGAGATTAGTCAGTCCTGAAGGGAGAGGGCTTGTCCCGTTAGGGGGCCCATCCTTGGGGCAAATAGTGGGAAAATGCAGGTGTCCCTGGAGAAGGACAGTAAATACTTCTTAGAGGTCCCAACTCTTCCTCCAGTTGATCCTCCAAATAATTTGATCTTTGACCCTTTGTGCCAAGGAGTTTGAGAAAAAGGGATTAGACATGTCCCAGACAGAAAACTGCCAAGATGCAGAATCAATTTACCTGCAGCCACAAAGTGTGACTAGCCTGCGGCTGTTAGGGGATCAACTGACTTTTGTTACCTATTTTAACTGTGGAAACGTCCGTTCTGAATGTCATGTGAGGAAGACTGAGGTTCCTGTGCATTTACATCCCCAAGATCCAGGGCTTTCTTTGTCACAGCAACTGCATTGCACTTGCACACTCTGCTGTTTCCCTGGCTCCAGGGCTGGGCCGAGACACAGGGCTCCACT